TTTTTTGATAATCCAGTTCATCGGTATCGAAACGAATGAAGAGGTAGCGAAACTCTAAAAATTCTTGTAGGTTTTTGAAAGTTCCTTTGGAAATTACGGGTGGCCGTTCAGCGTAGGGCTTTGCCATTTGTGCAAGCAATTCCTTGTGTCCGCTACTTCCATCGGGCAGACACAGGTCGACCTCAAGCGCAATTTGTCTAAAAATGTTCTCCATGCCCATATAGCAATCCGAGACACGTTTAGCCATCGTAACTTCTATGGCTATTCTGTATTCCGCTGGAGCGGTTTCGATTCTTTGTAACGCTTTCTTAATTCCGCTAATAGATCTTTCTATTTTCGGGCGTTCCTCGGAGATGTCTTGTATCAATTGGCTCCGGTCCACAGAATAGGTTTCACCTTTTCCGATTCTAACGGCCTGGCTTTCAATTCTCTCCCGAAACAACCCTTTACAACTTTCAAAATCAACCAGATCCAGTTTGAACAATCGGCTGATAGCCTCAGCTGCCCATACTGCCCGGAAGTACTTATCAGAGGGAATGCCCCAAACCGTAATATCAATATCCGACCCTTTTGAGAAAGACTCCCGTTCCGTAAGAGAACCGAAGACAGCGACCTGTGTCGCCCCGAAGTCTTTATAGAGCATGGCTGCTACCCGATGCGCGGTATCCCAGGCGCGTTGCAGCAACGCCTCATCTACTTTCCGGTTTTGGAGGTGCTGATCGAGCCGCTGATGGTATTCCGCTAATTCTTCTGGCGATAAATCTTTCGCTGTGAGATGGGTGGCTGTAGATTGATGCATATCGCTATCTCCTTAGAGAATACTATAGTTTGGACAATTTTAATTTTAAGAGTTTCGGTATAGCAGTTCGGCTCAAGAGAAACACTATAGGCGAACATCTCACATTTTGTAGACACCTATAGACACTAAACGCAGCGGAAATATGCCCCTGAATATCCGTTATGAAAGCCACATAAAAGCCGACTGCTAACTTCCGTGAATCGGACTTTAAATCGGAGGTTCCGCTGCCCCCTAAAAATGCCTCTCTGCCCGTTCCACGTCTATTGCAGCGTTGATTTTGCTTGTCCCCGAAAAAGTCCGATCTGTGTCCACTTTTTATCGATCTCCGTTTTCAGTTCTGGATGCTTTTATTTGATTTTCGAGGCGTTAGAGGTATGTAAGAACCTTTGAGAAAAATCAGTAATGTTTTGAAAATAGGGCATGAACCTCCCTGAAATTATCCAAACTATAGTTCGTTATTAAGACATAGACCGAATTGCGGAAATTGGTTCTCTTTTGTGTTCATCATTAATGAAAAAAATTGTAACACACTTCTAACAATTTCTCAAATTAAAACTGAAAGTGATTATCAAAAACAATTGACTTCTCGGATACTTCGTGATATAATTCGCTTGTAACGTACACCACCGCGATTCGATATCTGGAAGTTGAACTTATAGGAATAGATGTGAGAAGGAGTAGAGTTCTTCAATCGATCCAGCAGAAAATCGTTAGGAATTTCTATCAGGTAACTGAACATGCCTTGGATGAGATGCAAAAGGATGCACTCTCAACGGTTGATATAAAACACGCAATTCGGAGAGGGCAGATAGTCCAGAGATTCACGCATGACCGGAGGGGCATTCGATATAGATTGCGAGGTCCCGCTCGCGACGGAAGGGAAGTTAACGTGATTTGCCGAATTTTAGATTCAGGGGAACTACGAATTATAACAGTTTACGCGACAGAAGGAACAGAATGATGAAAGCATCTGAATGTGAATATTGCAGTGGCGAGGTTCGTGAGAAAAAAGTTACTGTAGATCATTGGTATGAAGGCAAATTGGTAATTATTAAGGATGTTCCAGTAGGTGTTTGCCAAGAGTGCGGTCAACGGTATTATGCAGCTGCAACACTGGATCGACTGGATACTATGGCTCAGAACAGTGATACCGCGCCGGAAAGAATATCTGTTCCCGTCATGGTGATGAGTCCCTAATTATTGGCGCGTAAGGATAGTGTTGCTCCCTACGGCCAGAAATTATACATCGGCTGCTGTGTCACGACACTGACGAGGCTCCAGATACCACCGACGGTGAAATCCCCTAACATCAACCCAATAGCGAACATCACAAGCTGCTGCGATGCCCGCTGCCCGCCGATTTTCAAGACACTCCACTTGATAATCGAACTCACCAACATACAACTCCACAAGTACCGCATCCCCCAATCGCTCGAAACGACGAACCCGATCGGATGAAAGGGCCACCAGAAGAAACGCGCCCGCATAAACATCAGAAGCGTCGAAAAGAGTAAGCCAAAAGCAATACCGCCAGTGGCATAAAAATTCGGCTCGGTAGGATAGTAGAGCCAACGTTGCAATCCGTTGAAGACGCGTCCACCGAAACCGGTTGACCAACTGCTGCTACCGCTCATGTTCAATGCACCGTAAGTATAAAAAAGGTAGAGGATAACACCGAATACCATCACGGCGGCGAACCCTGAAACTCCTAATAGTGCAAAGAACAAACGTCTCGTCGATATTCCTGAACGCTCCGAGAGTTTGAAACCCTCTAACTGGTGCGGCATTGGATTGCTTGTGTAACTCCGATTGAACCAACGATAGAGCGTCAAGGCGACGAGGTTGTTTGTGCCTAACGCCCGCGTGCCGAAACCGTCAACGAGAATATGGTGGTTCGGCATGTTCTCCATCGCGTGCACAGGAAATCCTTGCTCGGCGCGCATCCGTGTTAGCACCAAGACGATGATGAAATAGATTCCAAAAAAGATCGGAATCAGCCAGAGGGACATGCCGATACGCTTGGAGAAGATAAAGAGCAGCGCGAGTCCGCCAACGATACCCCAGAGCGCAAATCTATAGGAAACAGGTTCATTGGCATCCTCGCCTGTTTGGTGACGTGCAATACGGAACACGCCGCGGAAATGGCGCAGGTTCAAGACTAACACGGAAATGAAAATCCCGATGGCAGCACCGAAGCATTGTCTATCAATGTACTGGGAATCCGGGTAGGCTGGAGAGTCCGACGGCACTCGCAAATACCAACTGTGCTTTGTAAAAAAAGAAGAAAAACCAACTGGAGAACGAAAGATCGAGCGGCATCAACAGTCCAAGCCCGATAACGAACGGGTAGTAAGACATACTGATACCACCGATGGCGTTCCACGGTTTTTCTGTGAACAGATGTCCAAACCCGCTCCATCCGCCAATCCGCTTAATCGGTAAGGTTGGGAGCGTCGGATACAGAAAACTGAAGCCGTTGAGAATCGCAATGGATGCGGCAATTCCGAAACCGAGCCATGTAATGCGGTGCGAAAACAACGATTTTGTGTTATGCGTAACGTGAAATGCAATCTGTGTTATCGGGTAAGCAAGTCGTTCGCGTTCTACCCACTGTTTTCGCAAAATGACGTTGATGCACAACATCACGAGAACAAGTACTGTCATGAACCCTGCCCAAGATAGGATTGGCACTATCCACGCGCTGAGGATGTCCAATGTGGAGAGGTTGGATTCGCCTATATAGTAGCCCGCCAAGACCTTGGGATCGTCTACGAGCAGCCATTTGGGGAGATAATCCCAGAAAAGCTGCTTCCATTCGTTTTCAGGGGTCGCGAACCAGAAGGCGTGTCCGACGGTTGTGACGAGAATCGTCATTAGGGTGATGGACGGGAAAGCGCAAGCAGTGCTGAGGAGGATGTATATTGTGAGGAGTTCCGCATCGGTGAATAGACGGCGGCGAACAGCGAGGTTGAGGAGCGTGAAAGCGAAGACGACAAAGACGACGTTGTAAAATGGTACCGCATACGTATTCAGGGCGTAACCGACAAGTCCGACTTCGCCCGCGATGATCCAGTAGAAATTAAACGGAATCAGCACGAGCGTGATAGTGATAGATTTCCATGTGACACCGTGTGATTTTGGCGGTTCATCAACCTTCATGAGTGCCTTCGGTTTCGGTTAAAAAAGCGATCAACGTATCCAGTTCTTTAGAAACGGTTGCAAATAGGTCCCCAATCGGTTTGGCATGTTCTTCGGCTTTTTCGAAATCAACTCGTCGCGATAAATATTATTAACTTTGTGTCGGAAGTCTAAAAGTTCTTTTAATCTCGGTAAAGTGTTTGGGGAAATCACGGGCGGGCGTTCTGGTCGCCGTTCTGCCATTTGTTCAAGTAGATCGTTATGCCAGCGACCCCCTCTCGGTATTTGCATATCTACCTCACGGGCAATTCGCTCAAAAATTCTCTCAATGCCGCTGTAAACTTCAGCGAGATCAGAAGCGATTGTCTTTTCTACATATTTTTTGTGGTTAGCGGCAATGATTTCAATATCTTGTAATGCATTCGCGATGCCTCGGACAGTTCGTTCTATTTTTGTGCGTTCATCAGAGATGCGTTGAATGAGTTTGTTCCGATTCACTATGTAAGTTTCTCCATTTGCTGGGTCCGATGCGTTCACCAGTGTGAGAATGTCCGTTCCTGCTTTGTCAATAGGGATGGCTTGGTTTAGAATCCGCTCACGGAACAAACTGTTAATGGATTTAAAATTGATAATATCTATCTTAAACTCAGGATTCAAGCCTTTTGTCTCCCAGAGCGCGTCCAGGCATTTGTCATATGAGACCCCCCAAACAACCATATCAATATCTGAGTTTTGGGTGAACCGTTCCGGTTCAGTGAGGGAGCCGAAGACTGCAACTTTCGTCGCGCCAAAGTCCCGATAGAGTACGGTGGCGAGGCGATGCGCGGTCTCCCAGGCGCGTTGGAGCAGCTCTTTGTCAACCCGACGATTTTCCCATTGGCGTTTGAGGTTTTCTCTGCATTTCGCGAGTTCTGATGGAGACATTTCACTTGTTGTAGTTGTGTTATGCATGTTTGGAACCTCCGTGCTATCTGGTTGTTTTTACCACGTGTCCACAGAACACTTTTTGGTTCCGGCGCGGTTGAAAACCGCGCCTACATTTGCCTGAGATTTACCTTACCATTTACGGCTGAATTGAGCCAGCATAGAGGTCATTCAGGGCATCTTCGGGGAGCGGTTCCGGACTGTTCTTGGCGAACTCAAGAGCCGATTCAAGTTCCTTTGCGAGTTCCGCCTCAATTGCTGAGAGTTCGTCTTCACTCACACCCTCTTCTTCGGTGAGGACTTCGGTGAGTCGTCGGATGGGATCGCGTTGCCGTTCCTGCTCTTGAACTTCTTCACGGTCGCGGTAGGAGGTACCCGGATCACCGATGTGATGTCCTCGGAACCTGTAGGTATCGCAGTTCAGAAGCGTTGGTCCGCCCCCCTCGCGTGCGCGTGTGACGGCTTCATCTGCAGCAGCGTAAACCTTGAGTACGTCGTTTCCGTCAACGGTAACACCCGGTATATCATAAGATGGTGCACGAACGGCAATATCCTCTATCCGTTGATGCTCGCTTTGTGGCGTTCCCATACCGAATCGGTTATTTTCACAGACGAAAACGACAGGGAGTTCCCACACGGCAGCGAGATTAAGCGTCTCATGGAATATGCCTTGGTTCGTCGCACCGTCGCCGAAGAAAGACACGGCGACCTGCTGCGTGCCGCGGAGTTTGGCAGAAAGTGCAGCACCCGCCGCGAGTGGAATCCCCGCACCAACAACGCCGTTGGCACCCAGAATCCCTGTCTCCTTATCAGCGATGTGCATTGAACCACCTTTACCTTTACAATAGCCGGTCGTACGTGCGAACAGTTCTGCCATCATCCTGTCGCGTCTGCCACCCTTGGCGATCAGGTGTCCGTGTCCGCGGTGTGTGCTCGTAATGTAATCCTCATCTTGCAAGTGGACGCAAACACCTACGGCTGTGGCTTCTTCACCAATATAGAGATGCAGGAAACCGGGGAGTTGACCGCTCTGATAAAGTGTTCCAGCAGCTTCCTCAAATTGGCGGATTTCTATCATTTTGCGATACATATAAAGCATCTGATCTTTACTCGGTTTTGACATAATTCCTTTCCTATTTTCTATCTTGATATAAACGTTCGGGACGTTTTGCCAGTTTTATAGTTATTTAGTTCAAGGACTGTGTGACCTCAGATGGCGCGATACACTCCGGCGAATCATTCGTAGGATGGTTGACAAACCGTGATACCGGATACGCCTCTATCTCTTCATCGGAGTAGGGAATGAGAAGCCGTTGAAGTGCGTCCGAGGACTTTGCTTCTGGTGAAAGCCACTCCGCATAAGCGTCTTTCGGTAGAATCACAGGCATCCTGTGGTGGATTTCTTCCAACAAAGCATTAGGTGGACATGTAATGATAGTGCAAGAGCGGAGCGGTTTATCCATCCCTTCTACCTGCCATATTTCCCATAACCCCGCCAGCGCGAACGGCTTTTGCGATTTAAGACGGATATAGACCGGTTGTTTAAGTCTGTCACCCGGTACCTGTTTCCATTCGTAGTAGCCGTCTGCCAAGATGAGGCATCGCCTGCGTTTGTAAGCATTTCGGAAGGAGGGTTTTTCCGAAAGGGTCTCCGAACGGGCATTGATCATCCGGTTTCCGATCTTCGGATCTTTCGCCCAAGACGGGATGAGTCCCCAGTGAAAGAATTCCACTTGTCTTGTTTCAGAGAGTTCGGCTGTATCGGACGGTGTATTAGCGATGACGGCTACATCTTGTGTCGGTGAGATATTATAGCGCGGAGACAGGTTCATCGGTATCGTGAATTCAAAAAACATCTGGTTCATCGCGTCCGAATCGCTTGCAAGCGTAAATCGTCCACACATTTTTAATTCTCCTGAAAAAAGATGAGGATTTGTCCTACGAATCCTCTTTCGCTTGTGGTACCAGAATGTCATCTCTCCAGCGGAGCCGGAAGGATGGGCGTACGAGTGCTTCTGGTGATTGGAGCGTCAAGCCGCCATCTGCGGTCAACACGATGCCAGTGACGAAATCCGCTTCATCGGATGCTAAGAAGAGTGCGGCGTTAGCGATATCTTCAGGTTTCCCGTAGCGTCCAATCGGGTAGCAATCACGTGAGGCTTGTTCTTCCAGAGCATCTTCAGCGAGAGAGGCTTCTCCGCGTTCCCCGACGATCTGTCCAGGGGCGATAGCGTTCGCACGGATACCCTCCCGACCGTAATCGAGTGCAATGCTGCGTGTCAAGGCATTCAAACCGCCTTTTCCAGCACCATAGAGCCCGAATCCGGGATTCGTGATCGTGGCATTAACAGTAGAGATGAAGACCAAAGCACCGCCCCCGTTGTGAATCATTTCTGGGATACAATACTTTGCGCCGAGCCACGGTCCGCCGAGTGTCACGCCGAGACTTTCGTTCCATTCTTCCATTGTAAATTCAATTGCTTTTTTGGTGTAAGAGTGTGCCGCGTTGTGAACAAGCGTTGTTATTTTACCGTAGTTTGACAAAGCGGTTTCGACGAGTGTCTGCCAAGTTGACTCATTGGCGACATCCCCCATAACAGCGACAGCCTCTCCGCCGACATCTTGGATGCGCTGGACGGTCTCAGCGAGTTTTTCCTCTCGGCGGCGCGTGTTCACAACTACTTTCGCACCCTCGCAAGCAAATTTGTAAGCGGTTGCCGCGCCGATACCGCCCCAAGCAGCACCGGCGACTATCGCAACTTTTCCTTCCAATCTCATGATAACCCTCCCCTTTGACATTTCTAATGTACGCCTACACCAATTAAGGCAGCAAACTCAGAAACGGAGCAGATGCGTGTACTCGAAATATGTAGAAAACAACGCCTTAAAACTCACATCTCGATTTTAGTAATTTTGCCACAATATTTCCAAAATATCCACCGGATTTCGCATCCGCATGATGCTATTGGAATATTGATTATTCCTCTTCTTCTATATCTGTTGTATCTATAATCTCTATCATACTTGTATCTATATCTTCGATGTCTTCCATATCTTCGATGTCTTCTATATCTATAAAAGGTGTAAAAGGATTTTCAAATTGTAACATCTTTTCCAAGGCTGCGTTAGCGGCATCCTCTCTGCCAAGCATGGCGTTCGTCGCAACCCGACTGAAATGAGCTGGCATGAAATCTGGTTCAAGTCGAATTGCTTCATCATAATCAGCGATAACAGTTTCATATAGTTCGATGTTATCCTTGTTAGGTTCTCCGGCAAGCGTGGCAGTTATCAGTCCTCGAGTAAAGTAGACTATCCCGACCTCTGGTTCAAGTCGAATTGCTTCGTCATAATCAGCGATAGCAGCTTCGTATTGCTGAAGTTCAGCCCTTATGATTCCTCGATTGAAATATGGCTCAGCATAGTCTGGTTTTAGTCGAATTGCTTCGTCATAGTCTGCGATAGCAGCTTCGGTGTGTCCAAGTTTATCCTTCGCGAAGGCTCTCCCAGTATAAGCCTCGACAAATTCTGGTTCTTGACGTATCGCTTCATCAAAGTCGCTGATGGCATCCTCAAAATCGGCGAGATTGTTTTGAGCGACAGCGCGATTGTAGTAGGCTACGGTATTTTCGGGGTTTGAGCGTATTGCTTCATTAGCGGCTTCAACGGCAGCCTCATATTCTTCTATTTCTTCTTCGTCAAGCCCCAGAAATTCCTCGAAATCAAACGGCATATCATCAGGGTTTAAGGGATTTGCGAGTTGTAGACTTGGGAAAACTGGATTACTGCTTTGTAATGCTGCCATGGCGACTTCACGCATGTAATGCGCCTCGTCATTTGTAGGTTCTAAGCGTATTGCCTCATCAAAGTCAGCAATGGCGGCTTCATAGTCCTTGATGTCGCTCTTTACAAGCCCGCGATTATAGTATGCCTCGGCATAATCTGGTCGGAGACGTATTGCTTCGTTAAGGTCTTCAATGGTGGACGCATAGTCCTCTAAATTATAGTGTACAGCACCTCGGGCGTTATAGGCTTCTGCTAAGTCCGGTTTTAGACGGATAGCGGTATCCAAGTCCTTCATAGCGGCGGATGCTTCACCGATCAGGCTTCTTGAAAAACCGCGCCGTGCATAGGCATTAGCATCCTCCGGATTTAACTCGATGACTTGACTGAAGTCTTCAATAGCCTCATCGTACTCCTCTAACCCAATATTTGAGAGTCCCCGATTATAGTACGCCTCAGCATAATCTGGCTTGAGTTGGATCGCCTTGTTATAATCTGCAATCGCTTTCGTGTAGTTCCCTCGCGAAGCTTTTGAAAGCCCTGTTGTGTTATAGAATTCTGGAGACTTGTTCGGGCGTTTCTTTCTTTTTTTCGGACGTTTCTTAGCCATAACCTAACCCTTCCTTTAAAAAATATAGTGCGAAAGTCTGCTGCTATCAATTTTTCAACCATTATACCATAGATTTCGTTTTTATGCTATAATGTTAGTAATTGTAATGAAGGGAGACATTCGTGTGAAATCAGCGATAAAAGAATGGCTTGACAATTGTGTAGAAAAACTCAACGCAGGCGAGTTGACTGAGGCAGACCTGCGCGGTGTGACCACCCTCTTGAATTCGGAGAAGCAGCTGCTCCTCTATCTCTATTCCAAATCGACGAACTTACGTTCACCGCTTGGTGCATGGGCATTGTACGACGCAACAGCGCCGGATGAACCCGTGCTACCCTCGCAAGATGCACCTTATACCTCCGTGCTTGACGCGGTTCGTGACGGGTGGCGGATCGTCCAATTTCCGCGCCCCGAACTCCACAACTTTTCGGATGTTGATAACGCATACCTCGCTTTTGAGTTCATTTTAGAGAAATATGTCTAAAGGAATTAGAAAATGATTAACATTGAACCGACGCTAAATGACCTTCAGGTCATGCAGTTTATCCATAACGGGTATATCACCTTAGAGAGCATCATTGATGCGGATTTCAATGAGAAATGTGACTCAATGCACGGCGGACATCTCAGCGATTTTGTGCTCACAGATGAATTTCGCCGGAACGTGTTGCTCCATCCAGAAGTTGCCGGAGTTGCCCGTTCGCTGTTAGGTGCGAATTTTCTCGTGCCAACAAGTGCACACCATCACCTCTTTGAAGCACCGCATCGTGGACAAACGTGGCACTCCGATGGGATCACCGAGTACGGGTACGGTATCACACATCTCCAGTGCTACTATTACCCGAAAGCGGTGAAAATCGAAGATGGACCGACGATGATATTGCCGGGTTCTCATCATCGACTCGTGGACAGGGAGGCAATCGCGCATTACGGCGATATTCTCGGACAACTCTCACTCACTGTCCCCGCTGGCACCGTTGCGATGACGCGTTATGGCATCTGGCATAAGGCGGGTCCGAAACTCAATGCCGACCGACGCGGGATGATTAAGTTCTCCTATTACCGAACAGCAACGCCCAAGCGGGATTGGGCGCGTGATTCCGATGAGATTCCGCCTTACCAACACCAAGGGAGGCATCCGTATGTAACGGAGATAGAATCCTACCGCGACCGCCGCAGGGGTGAATTGATATGGAACTGGCTATGCGGATTGACAGAGGTCGAAGGACCGATTCCACCGGTGCAGATGTTTAACAGTGGAATTCCACTATCAGAGATCCAACTTCAGTAACGAGATAAATTTGGTAGACGCGCCAGTGATATTGACGTGCAACCGCGCTTTCAGCACCGGGCGCGCCTACTTGCAAGACGACTCATCTGGCTTAAAGATTCACCGTGCCCTTCTGTGCATCATCAGATTCTGAGTTATTCTTGGTTTTGGGAATCTCCAATGCGCCGACGATTGCCAGAATGAACCCAGTAGTTGTTAGAAACGCGCCAATTGCAGGTTATTAACTAAAACTGGGGATAATCTAATCTTAAACAAAAAATAGGACAGGAATCAGCAAGTCCAATTCCGCCGGCTATGAGCACCAGTGTTCTGGGTAGATTTTCGGTTTACCTAAGACTCATACCAATAATTACTAGGAGCGATAACGGCATGGTGACAAAGCTTGCTACCGCGGTCAAGGGACTCAACGGAGTAGCCCAAACTGAAGAAACAGAACTAAAAGGTAAAGGATCCCCAAGTTACCGTCGATGATGCCATTATTCTGGACGCAGATATTTGGCCAAGTTCTGGACCAATATTTCAAAATAGAGGTGTGATACATAATGCCTAAGAAGGTCAAAAAAAGTGACTGTAATGGGTGATGCCGTTACTGGCGAGCTCAACCCCTAAGTTTCTATTGTCCCCACGGCATGAAAAACCTAAAAATGCCCAGAATCCCCGCCTGTTTAGTGTGAGGAATCGAGGGTAACTTCTTCATTTTTTTTATGAATGCCAATAGGTTGCAGTAGTCTGGACAGCATGCCCGCCTATAACCTATATAAGGAGGAAGCCTTAGCGCTCACCACACGCTTGTAAACATGCCTGCATGTGCCCGCGCGATTCTGCAGCAATCGTGCAACACTGCTCTAAGCTATATTCTCGCGCACCGATAACCTCAAGATTCAGCGGGCCGGTATAGCCGTTCTCATGCAAAACACGGATATAACCCACGAGATCAATTTCACCACGTCCGTTCGCCTGCAATTCCGGGGCACCGGGACCGCGTTCTGTACCCTTACAATCCCGAATATGCACGTGTTTGACACGCGAGACCACAGCGGCGATCGCCTCCACAGGGTTTTCGTCTGCCCGGTGGATATGCGACGGATCCATATCAATACCGAATGCCGGAGACGAAATCGCTTCCATCGCACGGAGGGTTGTCGGTGTGTTATAGATACTCGCGCCGACATGTGCCTTGACGCAGAGTGTTACCCCATAGTGTTCGGCACGTGCAGAGAGGTTACCCAGTGAATCAATAACCTCTGGCCATGCGGATTCATCGTCTGACGAGCCACCGGGACCGCAGTTGACAATTGGGATGCCTATCTCAACCGCCGCTTGGAATGCAAGTTCCATTCTCTCTGGGTCGCGTGAGGGCTGCTCCATCGCTAACAACTCCAATTCGTACGTTTTCGCGAAACCCTTAATGTCGTCAGCAAGTTCTTGCCAGTTTGCGAGGACGAGGTGCTGGCTCATCCCGTCAATCGCAGAGAGTTCAACGCCGTCATAACCAGCCATAGCGATGTGCTTGAAGGCGGTTTCCATATCGTAACCACCGAATAGCACCGAATTTGCTCCTAACTTCAAATGTAATTTCTCCTTCTGTAGCGGCGGCTATTATGCCGCCCGTTCTACAATTATCCGTTTAACGTCGGAAGCGGATGCGGACGCACGAGAATACCACCCTGTTCATAAGACTCCATCGCTGCCCAAGTGTACTCAAGTGCCGCAAGCGCATCTCTACCCGAGGCACGCAGTTGCTCTCTCGGCACACCGTTTGTGATGTCCTCTAAGAACGCATGAATCCTCAACGGGAACGTCTGACCGAAGTCGCTGATTCCGGATTCGGTGACAACGGGTTCACCGGAGAAATCAGGGGCACCCGGGGAGGGCCAATATGTTACTTTCTCAATGCAATTCTCAATGCAGAACGTGCCGCGCGTACCAGCGAGTTCGACACTCCACCAGCCACCGAGACCGAATGTAGCATCACCGCGTTGGCTTAGCAGATAGCCGATACAACCATTTTCAAACCGGAGATGGATGCCGTTAATGGAGACCATTAGGTCGCCTGCGCCGCGCCTAAAATGTGGACGTTCCATAAAAGCTTGCACGTGCGTCACGTCGCCACAGAAGTGACGCATCACACTAAACGGGTGCGATAGGAATGCTTTCACGTGAAAGTAAGGAAATCCATCAGAACGTGGGGCTTTTGAGTGACTATAGTTGAATTCACCACCAGCAAATCCCATTTTGTGTAGACAATAAACCATCTCCCCGATATGTCCATCGTCTATATATTTCTTTGCTTGCTCCGCGGGCGGCGTGAAATAGTGGTTCAGATTACAACCGAGATAGAGATCCTCTTCGGTAGCTTTCGCGATCATCTCGCGTGCCTGTCCGATGTCGTTGGAGATCGGCTTTTCGACGAGGACATGCTTCCCCTTATCGAGAGCCTCCATCGTCGGTTCATAGTGCCAACTACCATTCTCATTACCGCCAGTACCGACATCAACGATATCCAGATCGGGTTCACCGTCAATCATATTGGCTAAACTATAGTATGCCTTTACGCCGAGACGTTCTGCCGCGCTATCCGCTCGCTCTTTCACAATATCACACACCGCAACGAGTTCCGCTAAGTCGTCATTCGCGTGACAATTTGCATGGTTATTACCGATGCCACTCATGCCGACAACGCCAACTTTTAATGCCATTATATTATTCCTTCCAATAGATGAAGTTTAATCTCGCCTATAGGGAAAACCAACAATCTAAATCTACTCTTGCTCGTACACCCTACAGCGACTTTGCACTTATTATAAGACTGTTCAGGGTTTTGTCAACAAATATCTTCAAAATATACTTGACAGTAATCCCAGTACATGCTATTTTCTCATATTATAAACAGTGCTGCAGGAGGGTATAACAGATGAGTATCAGTGTCGGGATGGTAGGGTTAGGGATGTTCGGACCGTCGTTTATCCAGTCGTATAAAGCGCATCCGGATGTACATCGGCTTGCCTTGTGCGATTTGCACGAAGACAGGTTGTCGAAATGGGCAAAGCAGTTTGAGATTTCTGAGACGTATTCAAGCCTTGATGAGATCTGCAAGTCTGATTTAGATGCACTTGTCATCATTACACAGCACTGGATACACGCGCCGCAAGCGATTCAAGCGATGGAAGCCGGAAAGCACGTCTATACGGCAGTCCCTGCCACTGCATCGTTAGATGAATGCGAACAACTCGTTAGAACGGTTGAGCGGACCGGCATGATCTATATGAACGGCGAGACGAGTTATTTCCGTCCGGAGGCGGTTTTCTGTCGTCAGAAAGCAGCGGAGGGTGCGTTTGGGGAATTTGTTCACTGCCGTGCCGAATACTTTCACGATATGGACCACGGACTCTACGATGTAGCGAAAAATCGGTGGGGTGCACAATGGGGACGCGACAAGAGTGGCGGGATTCCTATGTACTATCCTACGCACTCAACCTGTTTTCCGATCTCTGTGATGAAGGCACACGCGACATCGGTTTCAGCACAGGGGTATGTCTATCCAAATGATGACTGGTTTCGGAAGGATACCATCCACAAGAACCCGTTCTCCAATGAAGTCGGGCTTTTCACAATGAGCAATGGCGGCGACAATGCAAATCTGTGAGTTCCGGCGGATTGGACACCCTGGATCCGAACGTATCAGCGGTATCTATGGGACAGAGGGCAGTTACGAGCAGAGTCTTGCAGGCAGCGTGTGGGCAGGCAAACGCGAAAGGGAAATTGTCCAGCCTTCACAAACGCACGAATACCTTCCAGAAGCACTCGCGGCGGATCTCGGTGGGCACGGCGGTTCACACGCGTATCTCGTACATGAGTTCGTGGATGCTGTTAATCGTCAGCGATTGCCACGCGTCAACGTTTGGGAGGCGGTTCGGTACTGCGCGCCCGGATTTGTCGCACATGAATCCGCGCTACGAGACGGCGAATTACTTCCGATTCCGGATTGGGGAGATGCTCCAGAGAGGGACATTTAGTTTTAAGTCTGTTTTAACGATTTTGATGTTTTTATGTATGTTTTACCAATTCCGATTGAAAGACTTCCAATCAGAATTGGTAAAACGTACTTCACCTTAAACTATAGCTAGTTGATAATTCACTGAATATCGCTTTGAGAATAGTGAAGGAGGAAATAAAGGATGAAAACTACGGTTGTAAGATTAAAACTATTATGTGTCAATTTCATGGTTATGAGCCTGATGTTTGTAGGTATTGGTTCTGCTGAAATTGACTTTGAAACTTGCGTCGGAATGTGGCTCTTTAATGAGGGGAGTGGTGATGTCGCCGAAGATTCCTCTGGAAAGGACAATAACGCCACAATCCACGGGGGGGCAGAATGGGTTGATGGCATGTTTGGTAAGGCTTTGAGTCTTGATGGCTCGGATGATTACGTCGAAATTGCTCACGACGATTCTTTAAACGTTGGCGGCGGACACACGATTGCTCTTTGGTTTAAATTAGATAAACTTCCCCCTGGTGGTATGGGTGTTGTGACCAAAGATGATTGGGCACCTGGATTTTGGTGGGATGGCACTATAATCCGACATCATACGCATGACCCACCCGCCACGCTTCATTATGTAGATGCCTCTTGGGAGCCAGATACAGACTGGCATCATGTTGCTGTTACTTGGGATGGTGAAGAGTTTGGCGTATATCTGGACGCTGATCAGATTGGTTCTGGTGTAGCTGGCGCAAACTTAGGAAGGAACCCGTTAACTGACAAACCCCTTTTAATAGGTATCTATTTAACCACTGGACAGCATGGTCAGTGGGGTGAGTTTCTCGGTGCAATAATTGACGATGTTGCCATCTTCAATACGGCGTTGACCGGTGATGATATTGAAACGCTCATGACTGAAGGATTAGGAACAACAACTGATATTGAACCTTCAGGTAAGCTCACAACGACTTGGGCTGCCATAAAGCCGATTGATCTGCTTCCAAACCTAAAGATTGCGTTAATTGGCAATTTTTCGGTGTTTGCGGGCAATCTCGCGCTTTGCTGTTGTCCGGATGGACAGGAACGGATTGTGTTTCTTTCTCCTTTTTACCAATCCCACTGTTTCCAAAATGTGGGCATCTACACAGGATGCCCACTTCGCATTGAGAATTAGATTTGATTTTTATTCTATTTTACGGTATACTATACTATTTAATAGGTTTCTGGTGGGGGATGCTATGCAATATCGGCTTGCAAACTTCGCCTAAATAGATATCAATCGGACATCAATTAATGCACACTATGAACCTGAGGTAAGTATAAGGAGTATAGAATGGCTATTGAATACGCGGGTCCCTATGATGCATCGGCAATTCTGTCTGATGTTGCCCGCGAAATTGAGATTTATGAGATCCAACTCGGTCGGGTACAAGCCGGCCAGGTGGAAGAAACCCTCTTTACCGAATTTAGACTTCGGCACGGGGTTTACGGACAGCGCGATGACCGGTCGCAGATGATCCGTGTCAAAATCCCCTTCGGTGGTCTCACAGCGACACAACTCGAAATGTTGGCAGATGTTGCCGAAGAATTTTCGGATAACATCATTCACATCACGACCCGTCAAGACGTGCAGTACCACTACGTGGACATCAACAACACGCCGGAACTGATGCGTCGTCTCGCAAGCGTTGACATCACAACAAAAGAAGCGTGCGGTAATGTCGTCCGAAATGTCACAGCATGCCCTCTCACCGGGGTTTGCCAAGATGAGACTTTTGACGTGACACCTTACTCGAAAGCGTTGTCAGCGTTCCTCTTAGGACACCCAGATGCGCAGGACTTTGGTCGTAAGTTCAAAATCGCATTTTCCGGATGCGAAGAACACGCTTGCGGCTTGGCAAATATGCACGACATCGGTGCCGTTGCCGCGGTCAAAGAGGTTGATGGTGAAGTCAAACGCGGCTTTAAACTCTATGTCGGCGGCGGACTTGGCGCAGTACCACATCAGGCGAAAATCTTTGATGATTTCGTCTCCGCAGAGGAACTCCTACCGATTTCACAGTCAATTTGCAGAGTCTTCACCCGTTTAGGTGAACGCAAAAATCGGAATAAGGCTCGTTTAAAGTTCGTCATCGCTAAACACGGCATTGAGGAATTCCGCAGACTGGTGCTTGAAGATCGAGAAACGCTACGGTATGACCCTGTATGGACGGACTATCTGGACAATCTCGACGCTTACAAATGAAAGTCCACTCAAGGCACCGACGCAACTCAACGGCACCTCGAAATCTGAAGAGTTTGAGGAATGGTATGCATCTAATGTGCGGTTGCAGAAGCAGCCCGGCTACGCCTTTGTAACCACTACGCTGCCGCTCGGTGATATTACCGCAGACCAAACGCGTGCTTTGGCAGACATTTCCCGGAAATACGTTAAAGACACCATCCGCGCTACAGTTGAGCAGAACATCGTTCTCCGCTGGGTAACGATGACGGATTTGCCAGCACTCTATCGCGAACTGAAAGAGATCGGTCTCGGCGACCCCGGGGCAGAGTCTATGGTTGATATTACCGCTTGCCCGGGTACTGACTCCTGCAAACTCGGTGTTTCTTCTTCACGGGGTCTGGCAGCGCACCTGCGAAACCATTTCATTGAAACCGGTGTACAGAATGAAATCAAAGACTTTCGGATTAAGATTAGCGGATGCCCCAACTCATGCGGACAGCACCATGTCGCGAATATAGGCTTCTTCGGTTCCTCGCGCCGGATGGGTGCACATAGTGCTCCCTTCTATCTGGTCCTACTCGGTGGACACATGATTGAAAACGCCAGTTCTTACGGACTTGCCACTGGAAAAATCCACGGCAAATATATTCCGACGTTCATCGAGGAATTAACCGGTAAGTACACAGCGGAACGAAATGAGGAAGAATCCTTCACCGATTACGTCGCACGGCTCGGTAAAGCGGAAATCAAGACGATTCTGTCCAAGTACGATACGATTCCTTCCTACGAGGAAGCACCGGAATTCTACGTGGACACTGGCGACACGAAAGATTACCAACTCAAAACGGGTGTCGGTGAGTGTGCAGGAGAGGTAGTAGCACTTGTCTCCATGAAGTTAGAAGAAGCAGATCGGCTTATTTATGAATCCGGTTTGAATTTGGAGAGCGGTGAATATCAAGATTCTGCGGAGATGGCTTTTAATGCGATGATCAAAGCTGCAGACGGACTTCTGACAACGGTAGGTTTGCAATATATCGACGACGCGACCACCGTCAATGAATTCCGCACCCACTTCTTTGAACCGGGTAACTTCTTCCCGGGTTACGGTGCCCATATCTTCAAGGCGACGGAGGAAGATGCCTCTACGTTTGACCACGAGTTGGCACACCGTCGGGTTGAAGAAGCGACGCTCGTTGTTGAGGAATCGCATAATGTCTATGGACGTATGCGCATCAAACAAGAGGAAGAGGAAGAGAGCCGTCGTAAGACACGTCGCTCACGACCGGCACGGAAGCCGAGGGTTGTCAAGGAGACGAAATCGGTTGAGGAAATCGTCGATAGCCTTGATCTCAAAGGGGTCGCTTGCCCGTTCAATTATGTCCAAGCAAAAGTCCGATTGGAAACGATGCAACTTGGGCAGCTTCTGGAGGTCACCATTGATGATGGTGAACCGTTCGAGAACGTACCGAAGAGCCTTACCAACGATGGGCATGAGATCCTTGACACTAAGAAGGTCGGAAAACACTACCGCCTTACCGTCCGGAAAGGTGAGTAGATTTTAAGATCGCGGTTCAGCGTAAGGCGAATCTCGTGGATATCTGCCTGTTATTGGACTTTACATCGCTGGCGATTGTCGTTTGTACCTAAAATAGGTATGAGCGACCAATCGCCTTTTTACAATGGGAAGTGCCATATCATGGATGCCGAACAGATTTATGAAATTCTTAACCGCGTGCGAACCTGGGATGCCAAGATGCGGATAGATCTCGCTCGTCAGATTTTGGAAACTGTCGTGCCGCCACAACCTCCTCTTCCTGCACAGACCATGACGTTGGAAGAAGTCCAGGCGATTATGAAAACAGATAAGCGTCCGCCTACTGACGAGGAGTGCGAAAAAATCCTTGAAGAGGAACGCCTGAAGAAATACGGATGATTCACGCTTTATTGGATACAAACGTAGTTCTGGATGCACTGCTTGATCGAACCCCTTGGAATATTCAGGCAAATGCTATCTGGCAAGCGCAATTAGACAAGCAGTTTGTTGCTTATGTCACAGCAACGACGCTAACCGACATTTTTTATATAAGCCGCCGCTATGGAGGACTTGAGAAGGCCTGGCGACTCGTTCACGCTGTATTGAATCAATTACCCGTTATCTCGGTCGGTCCCCGCGAACTACAATTGGCAACAAGGTTAGCAGGGAACGACTTTGAAGACAATCTGCAAATTGCCTGCGCGATGAGTAGACAACTTGACGTAATTGTCACTCGTGATCTTTCAGGATTTACAGGCAATAATATCCGAATTCTAACACCACAACAGATGTTGTTGAGATTGTCCGAGGACGATTAAATAAAGCAGGTAGAACGCAGTAATGAGTGTCTTGTACTTCCGTACGGATTCGTTAAGTTGGCTAGAATACAAGGCGGAAAACCTATGCGAAAAATGGGAATATGGCGCGAGTATCTCATCGAAGTACTTGCTAACCGGGATGAAGCAATCGGTCACATCCAAGCGATTCTTGACGACTATTATATCTACGGGGGGGCTGCTGTAGTCAGAGATGCTCTCGATACCGTTGTTGAAGCTCAGGGAGGAGTTGCCGAACTTGCAAAGCAGACCGATATGGACCCGCAAATCCTCTCAAAAGTGCTATCCAATGACGATACGCCTCTAATTGATGCACTTCAAATCGTTCTCAGGGCACTCGGATATCAACTTTCAATCAAACCCTTAGAAAACGAAAATCCTAACCTTGAAACCGATACCGTACAAACGGCGCATGTAGCAGAAAGTCCAACGGTGCCACACCACGTGACGAAATGATAATATGTGTATGTAAGTGTGCATGCTTTGTTAGAGATTAAGATCGGTGAATAATGAAATTCTATAGTTATAAGTGGGTCATTATCTCAACGCTACTGTCAGTGGGGTTTTTATTGTTGTCGCAAGCAGTACTCAAAGTCTTCCTATTGCAATCTTCGCTGCTTTTTTGACACACGCTATCCTGATTCCAAAAATTTTGTGGAATTTCATACTGGATAGAACCCGGTAACTCGGAAAGGCACTGTGAGATGAAGAATAGTTTCCGTTTCTGCCAATGATAGCACCTCAGTAAACCCTCCGGCTGCAAAGAAATAAAAATTGACTTTCCCGAAAACTTACGGTATAATAAAAAGCAGAAAGTTGGCTGATGATATTGAAACGCAACACACCTACGGAGAAATAGATGGCAACAATCGTTAAACATAACCAAACAGGTAAACGTTACTGTTTACTCGGTGCGGGTTTTGGTGTCTTTCAATCCTCGAAACCAAACATGTTTCTCGGCAATTTGCTGGCTGATGTGAAAGAGGGAGAGTACGCATTAGTGTGTGTCTGTAATAGCAAAGGCGAGATTTTCTGGTTAGAGGCGACACAAGTTACCGTTGTAAGCATTGATGGACAGAACCTCCAAGAACTCGCATCCGAATAGATAATCTCAGTGCTCTTTTTATAGAGTATGCCTCTAACTGCCTTGTTACTCACTCATGAAAGGAACTTTTTTTAGCAGAATGGATCTACAACAGATTAATATTAAGGTTTTCGCAACCGAAGATAGCAAAGTCAACTACACCAACTTCATCAAGGTTTTCAACCGTTGGATGGAGGAAGCCGATTCTGACGACTACTTGAACTACGCCGACTATTCGCACGTTGAGGCGGGACCGAGTGTGCTATTGATTTTGAAGCAAGCTAACTATAGTATTGATGACGCTTATCATCAGTCCGGATTCCTCTACAATCGGAAGCATGCAGTCGAAGGCGATAATGCTGATAAGATTCGCCAAGCACTTACAGAGGTGCTCTCTAAGTGCGAACAACTCGAAGCGTCGGCGGAGTTAGAAAATGCAGTGCATTTCAACGGTGCAGACCTCCTATTTATGATAAACAACCGTCATATCGCACCGAATACACCCGAAACCGCTGCATCCATTCAGGCAGACTTAACACCTGTCTTACAACAGATGTACGGTGATGACAATTTCACCGTGGAACGCACCTCCGAGGACGCACGCGAACGGTTCACCTTGCGAATTTCAGCGAATTCGGATAAACCGATTTCGGAACTCCTCTCCAATTTGGGAGGCTAAGATGTTTGACTTTAGCAAAGAACAAATTGAACGCTACAGCCGACATATTATCCTCAAAGAGGTCGGTGGGATGGGGCAGACACGGCTGCTTGAATCAAAAGTGCTACTCATCGGTGCGGGCGGACTCGGCTCCCCCGTCGGGGTCTACCTCGCCGCGGCAGGAGTCGGTACACTCGGCATCATTGACGATGACGTGGTTGATCTCAGTAATTTGCAACGTCAGATTTTGCACGGCACCAGCGACATCGGCATCCCGAAGACAAAATCCGCAGAAGCCACTATCGCAGAGATGAACCCCGATGTCAAGGTGGTTCCGTACAATGAACGGATTACCTCAGAAAATGCCTTCCAGATTCTGGAACAATACGATCTGATTGTGGACGGGTGCGACAACATACCGACGCGCTACCTCCTCAACGATGCCTCCGTTCTGTTAGGCAAACCGGTTGTGCATGGAAGTATCTTCCAGTTTGAAGGGCGGGTGACTGTCCTGTATCCGGGCAAAAGGTCCGTGTTACCGATGCATCTATCCTGATCCGCCACCACCCGGAATGGTCCCAAGCTGTCAGGAGGCAGGTGTCTTTGGTGTGTTACCCGGTATCATCGGAACAATCCAGGCTGTTGAAGCGATTAAGGTCCTATTGGACATCGGCGATCCGTTAATCGGAACTCTCCTACTTTTCGACGCGTTATCGATGGATTTCAAGCGACTGAAGCTTCGTCAAGATAGCGGTTGCCCGATGTGCGGTGAAAATCCCACCATCCATGAACTGATTGATTATGAAGAATTCTGTCAGGTACAGTGGTAAGTAGGAAGGTCGCGATTCGGAGAGTGCTTCTACAGGGGTATGTCGCAATTTAGCATGATTGGTTTGCTCTTATCTGTTATGATTACGACTATTCTAATCATAATAACTAAACAACTCGGGGATATTGAGAAAAATCTATATAAGATTGAGAAACATCTTGAACGAATGAATAGGAAAGATGAAAATTGATAAACGGGTGGAGACCAGCGACTAAAAAATGCCACCGATGTCTCTACCCATTCCTATATTTTCCAAATTTCTATTACGCCAGAACCTCCCGCCGAACCGGCGAATCAATAAACAGTGAATCCCCACCATCAATTGTCAACTCCAAGCCTGTAACCCACGCCGCCTCGTCCGAGCAGAGCCAAAGTGCCCGCATAGGCCACATCAATCGGGTTGCCAAGCCGCTCCAACTGCGCTTCCGCAGGGACGATTTCTCCGTCCGGCAACGGATCCCAGATGATACCCGGACATAACGCATGAACCCGAATGTTTTTAGCATACAATTCCTTCGCTAGGTTCTTTGCTGCCGCCACCATTCCGGCTTTCGCAACAGCATACGCACTATTAGCGTCTTGCCGTACCCGTTCACCTGCGGAGATAGTAATCAGGCATCCACCGCCATGCACTTCTAAAACTGGAACAAGCCGACGCACAGGATTGAACAATGTTTGCAGATTGTTTTGTAATGCGCCATCCCAATATGCTGGTTCCATCGTGGTGATGTCGTGTTCGGTTGAGAAAAATCCGCCCGCGGCGTGGATAAGACAGTCAACACCGCCAAACGCCGTTACGGCAGCGTCAACCAGCGCGTCTACTTGTGCTGCGTCCGTCAAATCGGTTTGATGCGTTAGCACATCGCCACCGTTGGCACGGATGCGTTCCGCTGTTTCGTCCATCGTCTCTGTCGTGCGTGCGGCAAGGACCACCTTCGCACCCTCTTGGGCGAAAAGTAACGCAGTCGCACGGCTCATATTTGAACCGGCACCAGCGATTAACGCAACCTTATCCTTCAATCGCATTCTCAATTTCCTTTCTGGGTATTATTGGGCACGCGCATTGTAAACGCGCCTATCAAAGGCTATAAATTTTCTTGGCTATAGCCTATCGCAGATTTCATGAGTTTCAACGCTGTGTGAATCTGAGGGAGTTCTTCAAACCCGTAAGATATGCGTAATTGTCGCTTTCCGACCTCGACCATATCGCCGTTTGGATGGACGCAGTGCTCACCGGGTATGTAAATCACCTTGGGATGTTGGGAATCTAACGGTCCGTCAACCGCTTCCTGTCCAGTCGTCCGCGTCAGAAATTTGAAAAAATCGGAGGTTGCACCTGTTGCCGTATTTGCCAGTGTCAAATAGAAGTAGAACCCAGCACTCCCACCGCGGCACTCCTGAATATTATCGCCAAGCAATTCTGCTATCCATGTTTTGACCTGTTTCGCCTTCTGCTGATACCCGTTATTGACCTTCTCAATCTGTGCTTCAATACCGTTGTCGAGCAGGTAGCTGGCAATTTCTTGATTGATTAATGGCGCGCTGAAGCCGATATCGCTTGTACGCTGGATGATGCTGTTGAGGAAGGGGCCTTTGGAACCGATAAGGTAGCCGATACGCAACCCTGGGGCAAGAATCTTTGACAACGTGCCGATCTCGTAGACGATGCCAAGATCGTCGTAGCATAACGCTGACGCCAAAGGTTCGACGGTGCTGTCATGCACGAGATCGTGATAGGCGTTATCAAAAAAGAGTGGAATTTTCCGTCCAACTTCGGACGATAGCCGAGTAACAATATCGACCAGTTCCGCTTTACGGTTATTGGACAGGATCGTGCAGGTAGGGTTGTTGACAGTCACAACGTAGAAGAAGCGGATCGCTGCGCTTTCGTCACCGAGTGTTGTAAGTTTTGCCTTCAGAAGTTCGGTGTCAAGTCCTTCGTCATCTTCGGGTATCGCTACAACCTTGAAACCTTTCCGCTCCAAATCATTGCAGTAGATATAATACATTGGGTCTGCGGTAAATATGATACCAGGAGGAAGGAGGTGCGTGATGCTTTCTAACAGACTCGTCGACCATTCGCTCCGATAACAATATCTCGACTGTTTAAGAGTTGTTCGGTTATACCGCCAATCCGGTTCTCAATATGGAACCGTCTGAGCGATTCGATCAGGTTGGGGGACCCCTGCGCGCCACCGTAATTAAGAGAAGCGCGATACTTTTCAGGGTGCGCGAGCACTTTCTCACACGCAAGCTGGATTTGTTGGTGTGGAATTGTTCGTTCATTGACATATCCGACACCGAGATTGATGTCGCAACCATCTCGAAAACCGACAGCAAAATCGGTCATCAATCGATTAACCGGGGACGGGATACTTGAAGCTTTCCCGTATTCAGAAAGCAGGACATCGCGAATCTTCATATTGCGTTGGGATTCCGCGTTGTGGGGACAAACCTGAATGTCTGCGCGTTTATAATAAATTTCTCAAAGCAGATTCAAGCGTCGGGTAGCGAAATTCATAGCCGCTAACTTCCGTTTTCTCTGGAACCACATTCTGACTCAGTACAACAAAGTCAGCAAATTCACCCATCATGAGTTTCAAGCCAAACGTCGGGACGGGCAACAGAGTTGGCCGTCGCAGCACCGCACCGAGTGTTTTTGTAAACTCTGTGTTTCTGACAGGCGTAGGTGCGGTCGCGTTCAGTGGACCGCGAATCTCGCTATTCTCTAATACGTGCAGCACAATACCGACCACATCGTCAACATGAACCCAAGACATCCACTGCCGACCGCTGCCGAGTATACCCCCGACTCCCATTTTAAAAGGCGGGAGTACCTGTGTCAACAATCCGCCGCCTAACCCAAGCACAAGCCCGATGCGAACCATGACGACCCGAATCCCAAGTGCAATCGCTTTTTGGGCTTCCGACTCCCATTCTTGGCAGACTTCAGCGAGAAAATCGGTGCCAGCTGGCGAAACCTCTGTAAAACGTTCGTCACCACTGTCGCCGTAGTATCCAATTGCGGAGGCACAGACAAGCACATCGGGTTTTGTGTCTGCTGCCGCGAACGATTCAACCAGATTCCGCGTAGAAAGAATTCGACTATCGCGTATCCGCTGTTTTTTTTCGGCATTCCACCTTCCCGCGATCGTCTCACCTGCCAGATGAATGACCGATGCCATATCGGATATGGCTTCCGAAGGCAGTTTTTCGGTTTCAGGGTTCCAACCGTAGACCGCTCTTGCTGATTTCAATTTACTCTGTGCACGTGACGGGTTTCGGGATAACACATGCACTGTATCGCCTTGTTCGTGGAGGGCAGTACAGACTCGACTACCGATGAATCCGGTACCGCCGGTGACCAACACATTTGCCATTTTTTTCTCCGTAATGTTCCCTATTTTGACAGCTCAGTGATGGCGGTTTCCAATTTTCTATAGTCATCAACAACAGCATCACTGAGTGTGTCATCTCCATCTCCTTTGTTGAACCCTGAAAAGCGAATCGCCTTCATTCCTGCGTTTTTTGCGCCAACGATATCCGTTCGGAAAATATCGCCAATATGCACTGCTTCCGCAGGTTTGGCATGCAGTTCTGTCAGTGTTGAATGGAATTGCACAACTTGAGGCTTTGTATAATCTGTTTCATCAGAAAAGGTGAAAGCTGTAAAGTATTGCAAAATACCGTCGCGTGCCATCAGTTTCCGGGCAAAACGCCCGGGTGTTAGTGCTGAGTCTGAGATGATTCCGAGCGGATAGTTTTCACTCAGCCGAGAAACAACGGGTTTAACATGCGCTATTATCCGCGGGGGTGCCTCCAAGAAAGCAGCACCAAGGCACTCGATTAATTGATCAAGATCTACCTCTTCAAGCCGAATCTCAAGCACGTCCGCAAATCGCTGCATGCATCGCTTTACTGAAATCCCTTTATGTTGATGCCATAAGGACATCACTAAATCGTATGCTTCTTCAAGCCCGAATTCCACGCTAGCTAATGTACAAGCATAGCCACGGCTATTCAGATAAGCGTGGCACTGTTTAACACGTATCGCCTGACGTGTTCGCCAATTCTGTTCAGAATCTGCATAAAGGGTTTGCCAAAAATCAAATGTAATCGCTTTAAGCATCAAGGATTCTCACTTTTAAGTTGCATTGCATTCCAATTATAATTGCGAATTTATTCTATTCTGAATAGTATAGCACAACGTCTCTGAATGCTAACGCAACAGTAAACATAAAAAAACACACCTTATAATTCCTAATTTTATTTTACCCTATTTGTCGAAAAAAGTCAAATAATATGTCGTTTCCTGACCACTAAAGGGGTATGCGTGGAGAGCGTTCCGGCAAACAGGGCAACGCGCGCGAATTAAAATAGGTTTGCAATTTCCTGTTAAAGGTGATATTATTAATTAGAGTAGATTTGCGTCCGATCTGTACGGAGGAATACGAAATTGCGGTTGAATCGTCGAATTATCCCAAGGTATACGACCACCCGTTTAATGTTAGTTTACTTCATCGTTGGACTCGGGACACTCATATTGGGGTTTGCTTATTACACGCAGCAGATCTCGCAGCTGGACGCGGATATAGAGGCACAGATAGACATCTTCGCCAATCTTGCAGAGGTGATCCCGAGTGTTGAAGATCGGGGTTTACAACAGAAACTAAATGAGATAGTAAAACAGGAATTATCTGCCAAAGACAGAGCGCGCGCGTTTTCGTTTATTATCACGGATGCCGAAGGGAACGTCTTGATTACGCGAGGCGTTGACCCAGAATTGGACGCAAAAATCGACAATTTGGATACGACAAAGGTAAACGAAGATGAGAAAATTTCGTTGACAGAAGATGAAAAGGCGTTGCTGGGATCAACATTAGCGCGCATGCAGAAAAAGAATCCGCCCCGCAAGATACTTATACTTTTCAAAGATAGGCAGCTAAAGGGTTACATTTACTACGGTGATGCCGCACCCAGCGAGATGGAACATCTGCCGTTTGTAATAACCGATACTGCTGGCGCGCCACAGAAATGGCAGATATGGGGTGATGTCGTTACCGCGGGTAACGCGACCGCGCAGGAACGGAAACGGGCGGAAATCTTCGTTCAGAACGCACCGGCATCTTCGATGATTGTAACAACACCTGAAAGTCACAACGGCTACTTCTACTATGAAAGCAAAGTGTACTATGCGTTAGTCGTGCCTTTCATAGTTCCTATAGTTTTATTAGTATTCGGGATTGTCTGTTTCCTCATTTACCAACGGATAAAGTCTTATGAACACTCGGCAATTTGGGGAGGCTTAGCTAAAGAGACGGCGCATCAACTCGGAACACCTATTTCGTCGCTGTTGGCATGGGCAGAACTCTTGCATGAACGGAGCAGAGAAACAGGCGATGCAACACTCGCCGAACTCTCCGAAAGTATGCAAAACGATCTGGAGCGTTTACAGAAAACAACTGCGCGCTTCGGTATGATTGGCACTCAACCGCCACTGGCCGAAGTGAACACGGCTGAAATATTTGAAGAAGTCCGAGCGTACTTTGAGAAACGGCTGCCGCACATTAGCCGACGCGTTGAAATTCAACTGATGCTACACGAAGTGCCTCCTGTCCTCGCAAATGCCCAACTGTTGCACTGGGTGTTTGAAAACCTTATACGTAATTCGCTGGATGCTATGGATAAAGCGGACGGGTGGATTCAGATTGAACCGACACACGACAAGCGACACAGCGATATTGTTATACGGTACGCCGACAACGGGAGCGGCATAGACCGTAAGAATCAGCGAAAAATCTTTGAACCGGGGATGTCTACGAAGACACACGGATGGGGACTCGGATTGACAGTGGTACAACGTATCATCCGTGAATACCATCACGGCGGTATCCGCATGGTTAAAACGAGCCCTAAAGGTACGACTTTTGAAATTCGATTGCCGGTCGCGTGAACACAAAGTAACGCGTATTGTAGAGAAACAGAGGTGACTGCTCTGTCCTGCTTTTCTAAACCGCGACTGGGCATTTTTACAACTTGAGTATGGCACAAGCACACCACATCTTATGGATTGATGATGAAATAGAAGCCTTGCAACCGCACATTCGTGTGCTACGCGAACGAGGTTACACCGTTACGCCTGTCACAAATGGCGAGGATGGCATCGCGCTTTTAACGAATAGCGATACACAATACAGTGCTATTCTACTTGATCAGGTTATGCCCGGTAAAGATGGAATGGCAACGCTTGAGGCAATCCGTACGATTAACGCACAAATCCCAGTCATTCTCGTCACGCAATCCAGCGATGAACAATTTATTGAGGTGGCTCTCGGTAAACAGGTAACAGATTTTCTGGTAAAACCGATCGGCGTTGCCCAGATCGTCTCTACACTAAACGTATCCTTGATCAGACACAGATCGTTGTAGATCAGATCCCGGGCCAGTATACCGCGGATTTCAATGCGATCCGCGCTGTGAAAGATTCAGCACCCAACTGGCAGGAATGGGTGAATATCTACCTCAAACTGTTACAGTGGGATTTAGTGTCTGAAAAACTTGCCGAAGGTGGGTTAGAAGAGACACATCTTGGGCAAACAAAGGAGTGCAATACCGAGTTCTCCGATTTTGTGGAAGCGAATTACCGTGACTGGGTCGCTGGCAGCCCGGATGCGCCGCCCCTATCCGTTAATGTCTTGGATCGACACGTTATTCCCCAACTTCAAGCTGGAAAATCCGTCTATTTTATTGTGGTCGATTGCTTTCGCTTGGACCATTGGCTGGCAGTGGAATCACTGCTGTACCCTTATTTTTCTATTGAACGTGAGTATAGTTTTGCAATCCTACCGAGTGCAACGATGTATTCACGGAACGCGCTGTTCAGTGGGTTGTTCCCCGCAGAGATCGCAGAACGCTATCCAGAGTACTGGCAAGAGGAATCTGATGGCGATACCAGTACGAATCGCTACGAACGGCAACTCCTTGAAGAACATCTCAAGCGCAGCGGCATCAAACTGAAATCCGGACTTCAATATTTCAAAATTTTTGACACGCGGGGTGGGAACACCTACAAAAAGCGGGTCGCTGCGAATCCACGTGTCGGACTTTCGGCGTTGGTTGTCAATTTCGTTGATATCCTGACACATCAGCGTTCACAGTCAGACGTTCTACAACAACTTGCCCCTGATGTACCCGCTTTCCGGGCGCTCGCGCGTTCATGGTTTTCACATTCCGTACTTTTTGATATTTTGCGTATGATTGCAGCGCAGAACGCAACAGTAGTTCTTACCAGCGACCACGGGTCAGTCTTCTGCAACCGCGCCACCCGCGCACGTGGTAATCGCGAGACCACCACCAGCCTCCGGTTTAAAATTGGCACGAACCTCGGCTGTGAAAAAAACAAAGCCGTACATCTCCATAAACCAGGGGAATACCGGCTTCCCGCGGAAACCGCAAGTAAGGATTACATTCTCGCGAAAGACGATTACTATTTCGTCTATCCAAATGATTTTTATAAATATAAACGGCAGTTTCAAGGAGGGTTCCAGCACGGTGGCATTTCAATGGGTGAACTGATAACACCCGTCGTAACGTTGACGCCGAGGCTGTAAGGCGCAGCTCGCAAGTTCAGATTAAATATAGTAGTATACGACTCTATAATCTATGCCGAATTCACTGAAAATAGCGGAGCATTGAGACGCGGAAGGAGCGTCTCGCTACAGGGGAATTTGGTACCACTCCTGCCGGGGGCAACCGCACATTTGACGCTATTTTGTAGCTCTCACTGCTTTTTGCAACGCTGCCGATTTTTGACATGATAATTATAGTAAAGCCCACAATTAATTATACACCCAAAGCTTGGCGGGGTTAGGAATGCAGATCGCATTTGGGCGATTATGCCACAAAACCCCGCCAGCGAGGATGGTGTTTTCTAAAGTGCCCACATATTTTCGGGCTTTACTATAAACCGAGGTGCCTCGTAAAAAAGGCACGATAGGAGGTAATAATGGAAAAGGAGATACTTATTTCTGATGATGAGTATGAAACACGCTGTGCGGTACTTGAAGAGGGGGTGCTGAATGAAATTTATATTGAACGGAAAGCAGCGGCGCAGACATTGGGAAATCTTTACAAAGGAAGAGTCGAGAACGTTTTACCCGGAATGCAGGTAGCCTTCGTTGATATTGGGTTGGATCGGCACGCCTTTCTACATATTTCTGATCTCAAATACGAGAGTGCTAACGAAGATGAAACTGAAGATGAAAATGTGAACGGAAACCGGAAACTCGACAAAGATGTGAGTACATTGGATTTGAAAGCAAAGCCTGCTAAACAATCCCGAGGCGGGCGCGGGTTTCCATTTCTCATTAGCGACCTCATCTCAAAGAGGCAAGAACTTCTCGTGCAAGTCGGAAAAGAACCTATCGGGACAAAGGGGGCACGCGTCACCAGTAACATTACACTCCCTGGACGCTGTGTCGTCTATATGCCAAATTCCTCTAATATTGGCGTGTCACGCCGGATTGAGTCCGCTACTGAGCGAGACAGACTACGCAATATGGCAAAGACGATTAAAGCGGATGTTGAGGGTGGCTTTATCATACGGACTGCCGCTGAGGGATTAAGCGAATCCGAATTTTCATCTGAAATCCGATACCTCATCAAACAGTGGAAGCAGATCGGTGAACGTGCCAAGCGGAAATCCGCTCCCAGTCTTGTGAGTAAAGACCTGAGTTTTACGAACAGGGTCGTTCGGGATATGCTGACCAAGGATGTCAAGCAACTGCTCATCGACTCAAAGGTGGGTTATCAAGAGACGATCGACTATGTTTCTTCTGTGATGCCTGACTTGAAACCGAGGGTATCGCTCTATAAGGACGCTGCAACCCTTTTTTGATGCCTATGGTGTTGAGCGGGCACTCAAAGAAGCGCTCAGTGAGAAAATTTGGCTCAAGTGTGGTGGACATATTATCATCCAACAGACCGAAGCCATGGTATCCATTGATGTCAACACTGGACGCTTCGTCGGAAAATCTGACCCGGACAACACGATTCTCAGTGCGAACCTTGAGGCTGTCGAGGAGGTCGTCCGCCAGATTCAATTACGCGATCTCGGCGGGATTATTGTCGTTGATTTCATTGATATGGAAGAGGTATCGCATCGCAAGCGCGTCTTCAAGCTGTTACAGGAAGCACTCCGGAAGGACCGCGCACGCACCAACATCCTCCACATCTCGGACTTAGGACTCGTTGAGATGACGCGCCAACGCACCCGACCGAGTCTCTCTACGCTACTTATGGAGGAATGTCCCTACTGCGATGGACATGGCACTGTCCTATCCATTGAAACCGTTGTCATTCAGCTGCTCCGTGCGATTAAAATGGCACATAACCAGGCGGGGCACTCAGAATTACGCGTTATCGCCAACGACTATGTCGTCTCGCATATCAAGTCGCAGATGGCGAATAAATTGCAAGATCTCAAGAAGTTGTTGAAATTAGATTTAACGCTGGAAGCGGATGCCGATCTGCACCTCGAAGATTATCGGATCTTCGTCGGCAGAGGTGAAGAGTTATTTTTGGATTAACGCAAAGGGTTATCAGTTGTCAGCAGTCAGTTATCAGTTAAAAGAACGTATTGATGTATCATCAACCCGTTAACTGATAACTGATAACCTACAACTGACTGCCTTTACACAAAATGTAAGTCTGAATTGACATTGACGCTGACGCGTTTTTTCGGTATAATTTAACGTTCATCCCCGTCAAATCCGCATGCTTCAGTTTGCGGGATGTAGACGGGCATTAGATTTTGTCGTAAAAACAAATTGACTTTGGTCAAAAATTGTGGTATCATATATGTAACTTACTGGATAGGAGTATCACCTCTACGGCTTGGTAGAGTCCTATTCTTACCGGTGATACGGTATGTGACAAGTGGTAAGTGAGACCTTGTAAAACATCAATGGTAGTGTTCATGTAAGTCGCTGATGGCGTAATGACCTCGCGCGCCCATGGCGAGCAGCGGTTTAAATCCGCTGCGTCAGACCTGATGAGACAGGACAGAGGCACGACACCTTCAGACCGTTTCGGTCTCCATAAAGCTACCCGTCAAAAGACGGTAGACTCCGGCGGCGACTGCTAAGGGTTTCGCCAGAGATACATTGACAAAAGCGTTAGTCTTTCGAGGCTAACTTTGACGGTTCGTTGATACCACGCGTCTCCTTGTGGTATGCATGCCGCCTATAACTTCTGCTATGTCGCAGGGTTCACTATAGGTTATAGGCAGGATTAGGATACGACGGTATCCATAACAGGGGGTAGGATCCCTCTAAGAATCTATCGCTTTTTCATAGATATACACAGAAAAGTATAGGTTTTTAGGAACAGTGATATTCAAAATGTATGCAGTTTTTGCGAGCGGTGGGAAACAGCATCGTGTAGAGGTGGGAAACTTGATTGATATGGAAAAACTCGACGTGGATGTTGGGGAAAGCGTTACGTTCCCATCCGTCTTGACTGTCGTTGACGATGACGGTCAGTTGCAAGCCGGCTCGCCCTATCTTGAAAACACCTCCGTTACAGGCGAGGTAGTTCAACAGGCACGCACGAAAAAGACGATTGTGTTCAAATCGAAACGACGTAAGGGTTACAAACGCAAGTTAGGGCACCGTCAATCGTTTACACGCGTGAAAATTACCGCAATCGGCGCGGTGGAGGAAGAATCTGATGGCTCATAAGAAAGGCGGCGGAAGCACCCGGAACGGACGCGACAGTATCGGAAAGCGACTCGGTGTCAAGAAATTTTCTGGGAACTATGTCACCGCGGGGAGCATTCTCGCCCGACAGCGTGGGACTCATATACACCCGGGCAACAATGTCGGTGTTGGAAACGATTATACGCTCTACTCAAAAATTGAGGGATACGTATGGTTTGAGCGGAAAGACAAGTATCGCCGGAAGGTGAGTGTCTATACAGAACGTCCTGAATTTTAGCGAAGACATCCGCACCAGGAACGAACGACCAGAAGCCTCGCCTTAGGGTGCTGCATCGCGCGCCACCCAAGCGAGGCTTTTTTACTCCAAACTCCCGAAGGTTCGCACGACTTTAAAGCAGTCCATCGCTGCAAAACAGACAGGAAAACTGACATGAGATGGATAATCTGCCTCATTACCCTAACAACAATGCTCGGAATGCTCGGGTGCGGCGGACAGTTGCAACAACTCGCCGTGGAAACAATGCAAAACGCGCAAGTCGCACTCTCCTCAGCGGAAGCGATGGGTGCACAGGAAACCGCGGGCGCACCTCTAAGTACCGCGCAAGAGATGCTTATGACTGCTGAAAACGCAATGAACGCGGGCGATGCGGAGCGCTCATATCGGTTGGCACTACGCGCATACCTCCACGCGCGCATCGCAACCGAGACCGCGATCGCTGTGCGTGAGGAAGCACTCGTTCAAGAGGCAGAAGCACAACTCACGCTTAGCGAACAGGATGTCGCTGAGGTGCTCCAGAGGCTTGAGACGATAAAGGCAGAACTTGATGCATTACGAGACTACTAAGAAAGTCAAAATATAACGGTTGGGGACGACTCATGAAATTTTACGCATGGCTACTCTTAGGCATCTGCCTCATTATTTTCGGATGTACTAAACCAGAGATTGATGAAGTTATGCTGGCGACGCAATTCCAAGACGCGCAACAAGCTATTAGTAATGCAGCGGCGTTAGACGCTGAATCTTTGGTGCCGGAGGAATTCGGACGTTCAGTGAAGCTCATGAATTTCGCTCGGGACTCGCAAGAAAAGGCGGATATTCCGCAAAGTGCTGAGTTCGCGTATCAGGCAGAATTGGTCGCGCACATCGCTATCGCGAAAGCACGGCAACACCACGCAAAGCAAAAGGTTGTCTCCATCCGAGAACAGGTATATCAACAGATCATAAAGGCATACGAGCATGAACTCGAAATCGAACGTATCCGCCAAGCGATCACCGAAGAGCAGCTTGCTCGCGCTTTGAGAGCAGGTGATGAAGGACAACAGCAGACAGAACAACTCTCAGCCGAAATCACTGATTTAAAAACAAGGCTACGTCAAGCAGAACTTCGTGCCCCCATTGCGAGTTTAGAGTTGCTCGTCAATATTACAGTAGATATCTATCCCGCCATTAAAGAGACTGCTGACTATGAACGCGTGCAGGCAGCGATTGCCTCAATCACGAACCTCATTGCGCAAAAGGCATTTCCTGATGCCGAGAACGCCACTACTGATGCACGGACACTCGTAAACGATCTGTACCAATTAGCGGTGCGAAACCGAGAAGCAGAGGTGGAGGCAAAGACGAACGCGCAGATCGCAATCGCGCAGGCGGAAGTCATCATCCAACGTGCGCAAATCCTCAACGCCAATCGGCATGCCCCGAAGCAGCTTCAAGAGGCGAGTGCGCAACTGCAACGCGCGAAACAGGCATTGGACACGAATCGGTATGAACAGGCACAACAATCCGCACAACAGGCACAGCAATCCGCTGACAAAACTGTCGCAACTGCGGAGGCAATGGAATATAGACAACGCGCACAGCAGGAATTAAATGCGCTGACCGCACGTGCCCGACGGGCTGTTGAGGGTTTAGGTGAGAAGATCTCCGCGCAGGCGAAGACGCCAGTGCCGCAGCTGGAAGCACAGCTTTATAAGCTCGCAAGTTCGGCGCATGAAAAAGCTAAAACCGCATTAGCATCTAAGGAATATAACAAGGCGATTAAAGCAGCTGCAGAGGGAGAAGATTACCTACAACGCGCCATTGCAAACGCGAAGCAGCTAACATCGGCGAAGTCGGATTTGCTGCTCACATCAAAGCAGGTCCCAAACGCTACCGTCACGGAACGGAAGGATAGCGTGCTAATCCGTATTAACGGCAATGTATTTGCCTACGGGAGTACACAGATCCAAGCAGAATTTATTGATACGTTTGCGCAGCTTGCAAAAGTCCTACGAACGGCTGGATTCAGTAAATATCCCATCCGAATTGAGGTGCACACCAGTTCTTTGGGAAATGCGAGGGTCAATCAAAATGTAAGTATGGGGCGCGCGGATTCAGTTAAGAGATACCTCACTGGAGACGGGCGGGTGGACATAGAACGGATTACCGCAGTTGGCTTAGGGGAGACCCGACCTATTGTTGAGGATGGACCGAACAAAGAAGAACAAAACCGCAGGATTGATGTTATCATCAAGACAAACTGAAGAATTGTGCAACACGTAGATCCTTATGTCGTCCATCAGATTGCGATGAATCTGTTTGGGGACAGATATATTATCATTTACGGGAATACCATTCAGTTCCACAACCACTGCTACCACGTGCGGTGTATCAACACACCCGGACACGTGCATCGAGGGGCCTACTACTTAGAGGACGCGAATACCGGCTTGGCTATGCTAAACGATGTTGATTTCGCACCCCGTGGATTTTATGGTGTAATTTTTGGGCCGCAGACCGGCGATATTATCGGTTGTGAAACAACGCCTAACCCCTAAAAGATGGTGGCAATATACAGACAGACACGCAATCTATCAAGCATATGAATTACACCGACAACATGGCATCAACACAGCAAGAGACTATCCTTATTTTGGATTTTGGTTCGCAATACACGCAGCTGATTGCCCGGCGCGTCCGAGAGCAGAACGTCTATTGCGAAATTCATCCATATACGCTAAGACTGCCCGAAATAGAAGCCATCGCCCCGAAGGGGATCATTCTCAGTGGCGGACCCGCAAGCGTTTATGAAGTGGACGCCCCGAAAATCGATGCGAAACTCTTTGACATTGGGATACCTGTATTAGGCATCTGCTACGGCATGCAACTCATGGCAGCACTATTAGCGGGCGGGAAGGTACACCCAGCCACTGAGCGGGAATACGGACACGCACCACTTCAAGTGCTCAGTAAAACAGATCCGCTTTTTGAAGGACTCTCCTCCTGCTTTTCTGCTTGGATGAGCCACGGTGATCGGATTGAGGCAGCCCCGATCGGTTTCCAAACAATTGCACAGACGGAGAACGCACCTATCGCCGCTATGGTGGATACCGAGCGCGCGTTTTACGGTTTACAATTCCACCCGGAGGTCGAGCATACACAAGATGCTGACCGGATTTTGGCGAACTTCACGAGGGAGATATGTGGATGCCGCAACACTTGGACGATGCGTGCTTTCATCGCACGCGCGACAGCACAAATACAGGAACAGATCGGTGGTGAACGCGTCCTCTGTGCAGTCAGCGGCGGCATCGATTCAATGGTGCTGGCGACGCTACTCCATCAGGCGATAGGCGACGCACTCGTATCTGTCTTTGTGGATAATGGGCTCCTCCGGAAAAACGAAGTCGCCGAGGTCATTGAAACTTGCAAACAGATCGGCATTCCCCTTGTTGCTGTTGATGCAGTAAAGCCGTTTCTCGATGGATTGGCAGGGGTCATAGACCCGGAGCAGAAGCGAAAGGTCATCGGGGCACAGTTCATTGAAACCTTCAAGGGATCGGTGGCAGAGATGGCGCATAACTTTCGCTTTCTTGCACAAGGAACACTCTATCCTGATGTCATAGAAAGCGTTTCTGTGAAGGGACCATCTGCTACGATTAAGACGCACCATAACGTTGGCGGGCTGCCATCCGATATGCCGTTTGAATTGCTTGAACCGTTCAGGGAACTTTTTAAGGATGAGGTGCGGGCAGTCGGGGCAGAACTAAATGTTCCATCACATGTCCTTGGACGACACCCGTTTCCTGGACCTGGACTCGCTGTCCGAATTTTAGGTGAGGTAACCTATGAACGTTTGGAAGTACTCCGAGCAGCGGATGCGATTTTTATCTCTGAGATTAAAGCGGCAGGCTTGTACGACGAGATTTGGCAGGCGTTGGCTGTGCTTTTACCTGTCAAGAGTGTCGGGGTGATGGGAGATGCGCGTACTTACGAAAACGCCGTCGCACTCCGGGCTGTCACCAGCAGCGATGCGATGACAGCGGATTGGGCACGCATACCGCCGGATGTGCTCGCGAGAATCTCGAATAGGATCATCAATGAGGTGCAAGGCATCAACCGCGTCGTTTACGATATTAGTTCAAAACCGCCAAGCACCATTGAGTGGGAATAGTTGTCGGTTTTCAGTTTTCGGTCCTCAGTTAAAGAGAAGTTTGATTCACTAGAGCACCTCTTAACTGATAACTGATAACTGACAACTGAAAACTAATAGACTTGTGATGCCGCATGAACCGCTGTACCGGTTTCCACGTTATGCCCAAACTCGATCAGCAGTTTCTCTAATGCGTTGAGGACAAGCATGACATTCCGTTCGTTAGCAGATTCACCCATCAGCCCAATTCGCCATGCCTTTTCAGCAAAGATACCGAAACCGGCACCTATCTCTATCCCGTAGTCTGTAATTAGACGTTTCCGAATGGTTGTATCATCAATGCCTTCAGGGATACGCAGCGTGGTTAGCATGGGTGCGCGGTAACCGTCCTCGGCTGCAGGCTGCAATCCGATCGCTTTTGCGCCTGCAAGAAGCGCGCGAGCGTTAAGTTCATGCCGTTCATAGCGGGCAGCTAATCCCTCTTCTAAGACAACACGCAGTGCTTCGCGTAACGCATAAATCATTGACATCGAAACGGTGTGATGATAACTCCGCTTCTCACCGTGCCAATAGTTTTCAAGGAGCGTCATATCAAGATAAAAACTCTGGATGGGTGTTTTTCGGTTCCGAATCACGTCAACGGCGCGTTCACTGAAACTGATAGGTGAGAGTCCGGGCGGACCGGCGAGGCATTTCTGTGTGCAGCTGTAGGCGATATCAATGCCGCGTGCATCCATGTCCACGGGTTGTCCACCGAGGGAGGTTACGCAGTCGGCGAGAAAGAGCGCGTTACTGCTGTGTGCGATCTCGATCGCATCTGCCAAGGGTTGAAGGATACCGGTAGAGGTCTCTGCATGCACCAATGCAACCAGTTTCGGTGCAGAAACCTTGGCGACGGCTTCGGCAATCTTTTCGGCACGGATGTGTGTGCCCCACTCTGCTTCTACCGTTGTAACGACACCACCGCACCGTGTGGCGATATTGGCGATTCTCTCGCCAAAGTAGCCGTTGATACCCACAACGACCCCATCACCGGGTTCAATAACGTTGGTAAGTGCTGCTTCCATACCAGCGGTACCAGTCCCAGAGACGGGCAAAGTCAATCTGTTTTTGGTTCCAAAGACTTGGCGAAGCAGTGCCACCGTGTCGTCCATCACTTCTACAAATTTGGTATCTAAGTACCCCAACATCGGGGTTGTCATTGCTTTAAGAACCCGCGCATTGACATCACTCGGTCCGGGACCGAGTAGCACGCGCGGTGGCACTATTAATTCATCATACACTGTTTTAAAGGTTCCTCAGACATCGTCTAAATCGCGAATTTTCGGAGTTAGAGGTTTCAGGGTTAAGGGGAGTTCATAAGATAAGAAGGGAGGATGCCTGACGGCATCCTCCTTTGATAAAAGAGCCACACTCAGGAGAGCGAGACTGCAAGAAACCGGAAACTCTGGCGATTACTCGCCACCGCCAGAGCGGTCAGCGCCCTCGCGAATTTCCAGATTATTTGCTCGCATGTAGTTCAGGATTATCTGGACCTGGTTCTGAGCATACGAGAGTGCACTGTTAACTTTTGGATCGGCGGGCGGGATAACCTCGTATTTTGCCCACAGACGGTTGAAGTGTTCCAGAGCGTCGTTGAAATACGCATCATCGCCATCTGCCAATACCATATACGCTTCACCGATCTGCACGAGACCAAGGTCCGCATATTTGCTGGTCGGATAGGCTTCAAGAATCTTCTTGAATGCGGCGACAGTGGCTTCAATCTGCGTTTTCTGTTCATCACCCCTCGCAAGTTTCGCCTGATTCAGCAGCTGATTTGCTACGTCGTATTCGTAGTAGGCAAGCGCATTAGCGGTATCGTTGAGATAGCCTTGCCCTGTCGATTTCGATTCAGCACCGATGCCCGGCGTATTGATCGCTTTCTGGTAGTGCTCAATCGCCTGTTGATAGAGGCCAATGCGTTCCGATTGTTCAATGCTTTCTTCCGAACCGGCGTTGAAGTACTTGTTACCGATATTGATAAGCGCGTCGGCAGTGTACTTGCTATTCGGATACTCCGCAGCGAGTGATTCGTTGGCGGCGAACAGTCGATCATACCAACGCTGCTGCGCATCGGTATCGCCTGCATCTTCGGCGGCTTCACTGAGCAGCTGCGCACACGTTGAGATCGCATACAAAGATTCAGGCGCGCTCGTGTGGTTTTTGTCCACTTGGCGAACCTTCTCGTATTCTGCAATGGCGTTCTCAAATTGTTGCGAAGCGAAGTAGGATTCACCGACGTGATATTGCCAGTAAGCTGCATCTTTAGCGTTCGGATAGCGGCGCACCATATCACGGAACACGTCTGCAGAGGCAACGAAATAATTGACCGCTTTCTCAGACATCTCGCCGTCCATACCTACCTGCATCCGTCCCAACTCGAAGTTCGCGGCGGCGAGGTAGTTCAGAGAGGTCTCTGTGTTTTTACTGAGCGAATCCGATTTCGGGAACAAGCCTTTATCAACGTAACTGACAAACGTTGTTAACGGTGCCAGTGCACTCACCAAGTCTTCTGGAAGTTTCACGCCGATACCGACAGAGTAAGAAATCTGACCGGCTTGGAACAACGAGTTCTGCACATACGGAATCACCGTCTTCGTATCCGCTTTTTCAACCGGTGCTGCGATTGTATTCACTTCAAAGAAGGTACTTGCAGCTTGGCGGCTCTTATCAATATAGGGCTGTAGGTCGGTTCCGGTTTCGGTAGAGAAGAGGGATCGCGCTTTGTCGGAATAGAGGAAACCGAGGTTATATTGCGCGGCGGCTTTTTCTGCGACACTCGCGTTCGGGTTCGACTTCGTCCGATTAAGAGCTTCCACCGCTTCGGTGATGGCTTCGTCCAAGCGTCCCAATTCAACATAAAGCGTTGAGCGACGGATCCCAGCATCAGCGACCATCGAGGCAATATTCGCATTTTCTGAACCGCTGTGCTCACCGATGAGGGTTTGGAAGGTTTCCAACGCTTTATCGGCCTCTTTCAGTTTGTCCTGATAAATCAGACCCATCCGGTAATAGGATTGCGCTTTTGTGATTGGATCCGTGACCAATTCAATAGCGTTCTGGTAGTTCATCAACGCTTCCTGATTTGCTTGGAGTTGTTCCTCTTGCGTGAATGCCATTGCGAAGTAGGAACGCCCCTTCAGGTCAACGTCTTCAGAGTTTTCAATAATATACTGATACTCTTGCACCGCTGCGGCGTATTCGCCAAGAGTGCCATTGAGTTCAGCGAGCCGTGAGTGTGCTTGGAAAACAAGCGTCTTCCGCGCTTCGTCCTCGGTCTTACCTTCCTGCGCCGTAACTCGGCGGAACGCATCCGCTGCACCTTTGGAGTCCTCTAACCCTAACAAGGCTAAACCGGCAGTGTAATTAGCACTGATCAGGTTGTTCGCTTCGTTCGTCAGGGTCGGCACTTTTTCAGCGGCACTAACGGCGTTCTGGAGGCTCAGTTTCTTGCTACCCGCATCTGTCGCCTCTTGTGCGATTTGATAGTAACACACCGCTGCTTGGTATTGTGCGTTCGGTGCCAATTCGCTATTGGGGAAGGTTTGCACAAAGAAGAGATACTCCGCGAGTGCTTCGTCGTAGCGTTTTTCACCGTAGTAGGTGTGCCCAATCTTCAATTGTGAACGGCTGCGTACCTCTTCCGATGCGCCGGTGTTGTCAACAATCCGCTTCAGAGAAGACACGAGCATAGCAAGGTCAACCTCTCCGCCTGTGTTTTCAATCGCAGTCGCTTTAATCAATTCAATTTGGCCGAGTGCTTTAAGAGCCTGTTCATCGTCGCTCGAACCAAACTTGTCGTGCGCTTCGTCAACAAGCGCGAGAATGAGGGTCCATTTTTCCGTATCATTCTGATTTTGTGCGGCATCACGATAGGCAAGAGCCAAGCCGTAGTAAGCCTCAACGGTATTGGGGCTATCAGGATAGTCCGCAATCACGCCTTTGAAAGCCGTTTCGGAGGCTGCCAAGAATTCCGGGTTTTCGGAAGCCACTTGATAGTAGCAGAGCCCGACGAGATAGAGCGCATCGTCAGCATATTCACCAGTCGGATTGCCATCAACCACAGCTTGATATTGGACAGCCGCTTCTTCAAACTGTTCCTCTGCACGGAGCAGGTCTGCGAGTTTAAGCTCTGCTAACGAGCGATTGTCAGCACTAGCGAGCTTATCTAAAATGCTGTTGTAGTAGTTAATCGCGCCCTCTTTATCGCCTTCTTTGACGTGGCTGTTCGCGACAAGGAGCAGTGCGCGTTCGTAGTATTCGCTCGTTTCAGGTATGGAGGCATACCGATCACGGGCTTGCGTCCAGTCACCGAGCATCTCGTGTGAGAGTGCTTCGTTCATCAGACATGCTTCTATCTGCGCGCCCCGTTCACTGAAATCGTCATAACGTTCCTCAGCGACACCGGGGAGGAAGGCATCATCGTTAAACGTGGTGACCGCTTGTTGATAGGATGCCACAGACTTCTGGAGATATTCTTGATTGAAGCCTTCACCGGCATCACCTTCCTGATACTCTTCAGGTTTGGCGGCTTCATAGTAGGATCGACCTTCAAAGAATTTACCCATCAACTTGACAAGATGGAACTTCGGTAGATCACGGTACTCCCACAACTTGGCGTATTCGCCCGCGGCTTCAAGGTACTGTTTGAATTCCGTCCGTTTGATGTCAGCGAACCGGAGTTGTACCTCTGCGGCGAGGATGTCGAACTCATTATCGTCTTTGTTCTTTTCGATGAACTCGCGTGCCACCGTTTCGAGTTCTTCCTGCCGTTCCAAGTCGTTAAGTGCCCAAATTGCGCCATAGAGCGCGTGGGGTGCGACGGGGTCTTGCGGGTAGTCATCAATGGTTTTCTGATACCACTGCAAGGCGAGTTCGAGTGTCGCTGTGCCGGCTTCCATCTCTCCAGCTTTCCGCTGATCGCTACCGAGTTTGTAGTACGCCTCACCAATCTGGTAGGAACAGTAGGGGATGAAGTCCCCCTCTTCTTGGTGTTCGTTGATGACGCGCTCGTAAGCGACAGTTGCCTCGCTCCAATTTTCTAAACGGTAGTAACTGTCAGCGATACCGAGTTTCGCTTCAGCAATGAAATCGCTTTCCGGGTATTGTTCAAGGAGCGTATTATACGAAACGATCGCGTTTTCGTAGTCACCCTGATCGGAGTAAGTCCGACCGATGGCAGACTGAATTTCCGATTGGAGTCCGCGATCGGCAGTGTTTTGGAGTGCCAGCTCGTAGTTGACGCGTGCATTATCATAGTCTTTTTGACGGGCGTAAATCGCGCCTTGGTCAAAGTACGCTGCTGTGACGTATTGGCTCTCTGGGAACTGCGTGATGAAATTGGTATACCGACCAATCGCCTCATCATCCCGACTGAGTTGGTTCAAGCTATAAGCGGCTTTATACATCGCTTCGGCTTGCAGGTCGGCGTAGTTCTTGAATTCCTCAGTCGCGATCTTATCGAATTCCTGATAAGCCTGTTCATAGTTGGACTCATTGAGGAACGACTGTGCGATGAGGTGCTGCGCGTCGTCCTTAAAATCCGAATTCGGGAAGCCGTCAAGCACGGCTTTGAATGCCTGGCGCGAGTCTTCGTAGTTCTGCAGTTTATAGTTGAGCTGCCCGATAGCATACCAAGCGTTCTCAACGAAGAGACTGTTGGGGAAGTTCTCAATCAGCTGCGTGAACTTCGGTTCAGCCAATTCAAACTGCTCTGTCCGATAGAGGATGTGTCCCCAGAGATAGGTTAACCCCTCTTGGTGTTTCGGGATCGTTGCTATCGGTGCAACTTTTTCAATATACTCAATCGCAGTATCGTAGTGATTGACATCGCCAGACTGTTCAGCGAGGCGTGAGTAACTGACTGCGATTTTATAATTGGCGAGCGTGGGAAAATCCTTATCAATAACTTCGGTTTTCACACCACGCTTCGTAGATTCCTCAAGTGCCTCGGTATACTTGGCAATTGCCCCTTCATAATCCGCTTGTCCATACAAGTCTTCAGCGTCATTGTAAAGCTGCTCAACCTTTTTGGAACTGCCCATCATGAATGGTGAAAGGAGCGCAACCACTAAGGCGAGACCACCAATAATGCCCAAAATCCTTGGGTTCATTATATATTCTCCTTGTTTACGTAGCACCCAGAAAACGCGCTACGAGATTAAATGATTAGATACTTAGTTAATTTCAAATGTTCTGTAAAATAGCTTTCAGCTGTCGGCTTTCAGCCTTCAGCAAGAGACATCTGGTTCTTCGTAAGTCTCTTAACTGACCGCTGATAGCTGACGGCTGGCCGTTAATTCCTACAACTCTATTGGATCGTAAACCGCTGCGACAGATAACATCTCCAGCGGCACATCTAACAATTTTTGTGAAATTTGTGAAAAACCTTTGGATTCATTCCGTTTCCGTTCATACTGCTGAAGCGCGTGTTGTCTTGTGTTGATACCTCGCAACAATAGCAGGGCATACCTACCCTCAGTCAACACATCTCGGCTCGTCAGACGTGCCCAGATAGCACCTTGCGCAGGAAATTCAGCATAAGCGAGCAATTCCGAATCGATGTCCAAGGCGACGCTCGGAACCGCATCCGAACTATTCTGACTGAGTTTAGCGAAGATATATCCATCTACCATCGGTTCATCAGTGAATTTCCAGGCCTCGGAGCTGGAATCTACAGCAGGTGTCTCCGTTGTGCGTTCACTATTCACGTTTCGGCGCATGCCGACGGAGTGCGTCGTAGTCTTATCCTGCTGGATGGCAAGTGTGCCGGCAAGCTGTACGGAAGCGGATGGCAAGCGGACATGTTCTCCGTTATCTTGCAGCGAGACTTGTGTTAAAAGGAACGGTACCGCAATCAACATCGTCATCGCTAATGCGAGAACGTAATACGGTAGAGCGTGTCGTCCGATGGAGATAAATCTGCTCGGACGGAAACGATCCGTGTATCGGTACACCTGTGTCTGCAGCTGCCATCCGAGACGCGTCGCTGCTGCAGCGAACCGTTGATGCGGCGCAGTCGGCGCACTCTGTTCGATACGTTGCTGGAGTTGCGTTGTAAACTGAGCATAATAGGCATCGGATGCCTCTGGTTCAACATAGAAGTTCTTCAGGAGGTGCCGCGTCTTTTTCAGGTCGGCGACCTCTCGTTGACACGATTGACAGGAACGGATGTGCGATGCGACAGCAGAGGTCTGCCGTTCGGATAGCGTTCCATCTATATAGTCAGAGACAAGGTGTTCTATTTTCTGACACTTCGTTCTCATTGATATTCTCCACGACATTGCGTGCATCTAATTAATTATTGGCAGTGTTTGAAATACTTTCAGCGGTGTCCAACTGAAACTGTGGTGCTAAATCGCACTCGCTTCCATGTAGGGTTTGAGTAAAGTTCGGAGCTTCTTGCGTGCATAGTGCAACCGAGAACGGACTGTCCCCTCGGAGCAGTTAAGGATTGAAGCGATCTCGGCGTGCGTTAACCCCTCAAATTCATGGAGGATCACCACTGTCCGATGCTTAAGCGGCAAACTGTTGACTGCCTCTGTGACGTATTGCCGGAGTTCTGCTTTTTCTGCTTGTGCGTGCGGGTCATTTGCAAGCTGCGCCCGGTAGCGGGTAGACACCTCGTATTCCGCTTCTGGCGTTCTCTCAATTGTGGTTTCGCGCTGCCGTTCTCTACGCCCGACGAAATTGAGTGCCTCGTTCACGGCTATCCGGTAGAGCCATGTCTCAAAGGCGGCATCTCTCCGGAACGTGTGAATTGAGCGGTAAACCTTAATAAAGGTCTCCTGCATCACATCGTCAGCATCAGCATGGTTCTTGGTAATCTGCACGGCGAGGCGGTACACCATCCGTTTATATCTTTCCACCAATGGTGCTAAGGCTGTCTCGTCGCCTTCACAGAGATCGGCAATGAGCAAAGTTTCCGTTCTATCCACCGAACTTTCTCCTCAAGATTTCTAACTGATTCGTCAGGTTAGACAACATTTTTTCAAAAACCGTTCAAAAAAAATAGTTTTTAGTACTCAGTTTTCAGTTTTCAGTACGGCGACTGCGTCGCTTTTCAGTTTTCAGTACTCAGTTAATTGTCTACTTCGTTATCCACTAAGTTGGTAGGTGCGGTTTCTAACCGCACCATAGGTGTCAATTTAGCGATATTTTTCGCAGCATTTTGGGAACTCATAAAATAAACATGCCGTCCTTACAGGGCTTGATATGTTCCTCAATGCCTTTCTATAAACATTCCGTCCCTCTGGGACTAAAGAGGTGGCTCGCGGTATACAAGATTTCTGTTAAAATCCGGTGCGGTTGGGAAACCGCACCTACCGGGCCAGGGCATTCAGCGCGTCAATTATTTCTTAAATTGACATGTATGGTGCGGTTTTGCGGCGTACGCGCCCAAATGCGATCTGCATTCTAACCACACCGATGTTTATTAGGATCAGGCTGCATAATATTTTGACAAATGCGCTTCCACTGCATTATAGCATTAATACAGAAATTGTGTAAAGAGAAAAATATGGCGATCAGCCGTCAGCAAATTGGCTATCAGTTTCTATCAGCCGTCAGTCGTCGGCAGTCGGTTTCCATCAGAAACCCCATCGCCGCCACTCTCTTTGCTGGCGAGATTCTCTAACTTCGCCAATGTTGTTATACCATTTCTAAAATTTTATATTACATTAGCAGCGTTTATGAGGGCGGTGCTGACAACAGAACAAAAAAGTAGACACAACAGAAAACAACAGAAATTTCGGCTATCCCGAAATTGGCAGATAAGTCAAGCGGCAACAGGTCTGAGAGGCAATTTCAGGAAGTTTCATAGCGGTCAAATTTCTGTTGTAAAATGACGGGTCGTACCATTCTCAAAGTTTATATTATACCAAATCTGAAAAATAAATTCGCATTTCAGAGATTTTGAAACTCTATGAGGTTTCCGCATGTAATACCCCATTAACGTGATTAGAAGTTTTTTGATCAAGTCAGCGTTGCGAGGCACAGGGACCTCGCGCTACAAATGGGGTTAATTTGGTATAAGAGGTGCCATAATGCACGTCGCATTTGGTCGCGTACGCCGCAGAATTGCGCCACTACGAACCGGTTTTCGTTAATGAGAAACGGTTATTCAGAAATGGTATTATACCCCATTAACGTGATTAGAAGTTTTTTGATCAAGTCAGCGTTGCGAGGCACAGGGACCTCGCGCTACAAATGGGGTTAATTTGGTATTAGAATCAGGATTTTCAGGATTCAAGGATTTGCAGGATGAGAGAGGCTACAGACTTGACACACGGAAATCTTTGCATGCTGATGGCTGATGGTTTCTGACAGCTGACTGCCATCCCACAAAAAAAGGGCAGCGCATTAAAAATACGCTGCCCTTTTTGTCGAAATAGCCTCGAATTTACTCTTTACCCTTGGTTGTAAAGGTTACACTAACTTCAGTCTCGTTACCGGCAGCGTCAGCAACTTTACCTGCGATAACATAGGTAGTCTCGTTGCCAATCTCTTTGCCCTTGACGAGATCGAGTGTGCCTGTGGTACCTTCAACTTTGCCGAGCCAACCGACATCGTCGCCGCCTTCAGTCTGCAGGGCGATATTACCGGAGACATCTTCACTGAAGGTAATTTCGATCGTCCCGTCACTATTGATCCCTTCGGGATCAACATCTTCGTCGCCGTCTGAGACGGTTCCGCCAGTGACGGTCGGAGCTGTGTTATCGGCGGCAGCAACGGTGTAGCTAAGCGAAGTGCTACCGTCGCCATTTGTCCAGCTGATAGCGAGCGTGAGCGCACCTTCTGGGAACGGACCCGCGACTGTCCGAGTTTTACCGGAACCTGCGACGGTTCCTCCACTCGACGTTACGTCGCCGGGATCGCTGCTAAAGGTAAGTGTAATGGTAGCGTTCGCAGCAATCGTTTCACCGCCCGCCGGGGCTGCCGATGAGAATTCAGCTGCTGCAACTTCGTCGTCTTCTTCCTCACCGCCGCCACAACCGACTATGAGCGAGAGAGCAAACAAGGCTGCCAATACTAAAGCGAAGATTCTAAACATTTTTGCCATTAGAGTTAACTCCTTAAAAAATTGTAAATTTATCAAAATACACCCTTCGGAGAGGGCGTCCTAAAACTTTCGGTCCTTTCCCATAGACACTTAGGAAATTGTATCCTTGGGAAATTCTTGGTTCCGCTGCCAGTGCTGATTGTACAATTCAACACCGAATGGAACCCACGATCATATTCTCGTTAAGTCGAGTAACGTAGGGCTATTTCGTTTGTTGTTCTCTCCGCAGTGCGCAAAGAACAAACCGACACGTTGAGAACAGAATTTCGCGAGGACAGTCAACTGTAAAAAGATTCCATTGGCATGTTAAATGCCTCGCCCGAAAGTCAATATCTAAACGAGTACCTTAAAGTTTAGCAAAAATTGCAAACTTTGTAAAGGTAAAATACGGATTTTCCGAAATTATACGAAAATTAGTCTCTTCTGTCAAGAAAAAACTTCATTATTACGCAAATTTTACCTTAAATTTAAACGTTGTCAAGAAAAAAGATACACGTCTTGGGGTTTTCATACCTTTCCACAGACAGACTAGGGGGCTATATATACCTTTATCAATCCACTCACATTATTTGAGTGCTTATTGGCACTAACGCCTTGCTCAGTCTGATCTTGTAGTTGAGAACTGTGTTTTATCAAAGTCCTATTTTTGACTACTGAGGGTCACTCGAACTTAACACCATCCGCCGAGCCTACATCCTAACCTAAAGGATCGGGTTTGACTCGGAAAATTTCGATAACAATCAAGCTTAAGGACGTATATAGTATACCACAAATCACGAAAAAAAGCAATAAATTTTTTATGTAGTTATCAGTACTCAGTACTCAGTTAAAGAGAGTTTGATTCACCAGAAGCACCTCTTAACTGAAAACCGACAACTGATAACTGACAACTGATAACTGACAACTACTCCGCCTCAAACAGCCCCATCTGTTCACTTGCAGTGCTGCTTGCGTACGTCTCAAGACGTTCGGGGTGTGTCAGCACATCAACGACCTTATCAACTTCAGTCGGTGCGAACGGAAACGCGCCAGTCCTGATCAGTTCGCGTGGTCCCTCGCTCAGCGGGTGCCGTGTCTCCCACCGACAGGCAAGCACCGCTCTGTCTTGACGCTGGGCATATCGCGCCGTATGCATCGCACCGCCAGTTTTCGGTGCCTCAACGACGATTGTCGCCACAGAAAGCCCACTAATAATACGGTTCCGCTGAATCAGATTGCCCGGCGACGGTGTTGTCGGGAACGGGTGTTCCGAAAACAGGCAACCGTGCTCATAGACCTTCATCGCGAGTGGGATTGTTCCGCGCCGGATAGATCGCGGATAAATCTGTGCCGACGACCCCGATAGTTTTTCCCATTCCCGCAAGCGCGCCGGAATGCGCATACGTATCAATACCGGTAGCGAGTCCACTGACAACTGTAAACCCAGCGAGTACCAGCTGCGTCGCCAGCGAGAGCGTCAACTGAATGCCTTCTATACTCGGCTCCTTGTTCCCGACAATCGCCACGCAGCGTTCGTCGAGTTCGGTTAATGTGCCGACACTGCACAGGATTCCGGGCGCGTCGGGGAGATGCTTCAGCTGTGACGGATAGATGGCATCTTCAGGACACATCACCCGGACTTCTTGATCTCTGAGTGCGTTGAGTCTTTCGCGGAACGTTGGGAAATTGCCTGATACGGTGAGTATCCGCGATGCGAGCACCGGGTTGAAGGAGGGTAACCGTGCGATTTCTGGGAGTTCTGCTTCAAAGATCGCCTGCGCGCTCCCGAAACGTGTTATCAACCGTCTGATCCGCACACTGCCGAGCCCTTCAACAGAGGCGAGTGCTAACCAGTATTCGAGAGGCGTTTTTTCTTGTGAGTCTGTCATGTTTATATAGAGGTATATAAGCGAGGGTACATGAGGTTTAAAAAAAAAAAACCCTCCACCCCTTCTCGTGTAGTAGGTGGTCCTGTGCTCCCGTCTCTCTCTCCTCCCTACTCAACAATCATACTTCTCCCTCTCTCCCAGCAAATACCTCTCATCTCTCCTCCAAATACTCTCTAACCCTTTCCCTCACTACCCGCCCCCCTCACATACACCTCTCTCAACTCTAACTCTCTCTCTTGTCTCACTCTCACCTCACACTCCTCCTCCTCTCTTTCTCTCTCGTGTGGGTGGCCTCAATCGAGGACACAAGGCCAAATAGACCTGTCAACTCCCAGGAACCGAGAAACTCCACTCGCAGTAACTAAGCACTTAGGGCAAGACGACCCGCCACAGCAGGCCTGAGCTTATAGGCCGAAACAATACAATGCCGCACCCAGTCCGGCGTGGGTATCTGAAGGGACAGCAGATGTAAACGACGAGGCTCACACGGCCGAATAACAGGCCCCAACCCACGAGAGCGTCGAACACGCCGCCAAAAACACAACCACCAACCATAGGCGCGCAGCAGATATTGGCCGG